GACCAACGAAGTAAAACTCACCCTTGCGATGGAGTTAAACTCTGTGAATTCATGCTTGTCGGGAATTTGTGCTGCTAACAGAACCTTAGACAAAGCAACTCCGGGACAAATGGATTGCTGAAAAAAAAAGGCAAAATAAGTCCCAAGTTCAAATAAAAAACGCTCGGTCGTACATGACACAAGCAACAAGCACACATGGTTCTAATTCGTGACCACTTCTGACATACCGGTACCGTAAAATCTCACGTTAAAACCCTGGGCTTATATAACGTCTTGAGGGGTTTTGGGTAGGCTTATAAATAGGGGCGGGGGGGATTATATCCGGGAACTTGTATCCGGAATATGTAATATCTTCGTTAGCAAAGAGATGGACTTAGATCCGGGAGAGGGTTTAAAACCGGGGGGTGCTTTGACGTGGGATTTTTAGCAATTATTCCTCGAGCCCGAATGGGCTCTGAGTCAATAGCCCATGAGGCCGAAGGCCGAATGGGCTATTGGCTAAGAGGCCATGAGGGCGAGAGGAATAATTGTTTTAGTAAAATCCAACTAGTTGGTCAAAAATATCGAGAATAAAAAAACAATTTAGCTAGTTACTACGCTATTATCTTTTATCCCGAAACAGGCTATCTGACATACCAAAGTAATGGCTTGGTACATGTTCCTGAGTGCAGATCGGCCGTAAGGCGTGTCAAAATTAAACTGCGTTAAGTCGGCCCCAGTCGCTGCTCGTCTGTCACCTTTGGTAAGTGCACCTGCGGGCAAACAAAACAAAAACTTAAAGGGGCTCTGTCAAGGCTGTTTAGTTGAATGGATTGATGCTTTTGGCTGGGAAAACAAAAGAAAACCTATGACTTTCTGGCTACAAGTCCAGATGCTCTACCACTGAGCTACAAATGATTAAGGCCACTAAACTAGGTTCACGTGACAAACATCCAGCATACTGCTAGGATAAGAACGTTCTAGATACAGTCGAAGCTCTCGTAAGCGACCACCCCGTCCATTTGGGTAATCCCAAAAGCGTTCACGGCCGCTTACTGGAGTGGTCGCTTACAAGAGCTTTTTCACTAAATTGTTTAAGTCACTGTCCAAACGGGGTTTCACAAAGGTGGTCGTAACTAGACCACGACAGCGGTCGCATGGAGAGCTTCGACTGTATTCCGCTAGGACTAGTTCTAGACAATCTAGCAGTATTACATACAGGATGTTTGCACTTGAACTTAGCTCCAAAACTTCTCCTGTGGCTCAGTGGTAGAGCATCTGGACTAGTAACCAGAATGTTATAAGTTTGACCGCCTACTGGGAGTAATCGGATGTTTTTCTTCCAAGCCGCCTGTGTCACTGACTGAAAAATCATATTTCTCATGTATTCACCAGGCTCAAAATTCACCATCCAGAGTGCAAAGAAAGTAGTGTCCGATAGCTCGGGGCAAGTGAATTTTGTTATCAGGCTAGTGAATTCTCTTTTTAACTTGCCCGATAAGCAAGTGATGTTTTTTGAGCAATTCGGATAAAGGAAGAACTGTGAAATCAATTCTACTCGTCAAAAAGCTTTTGGGGCTAGTTAAAATGATGTCTGGGCTAGTAAATGCTAGCTTCAGCTTGCCCGAATGGCAAGCTATAAAAATGATTTTCTTTGCACCCTGCCATCACATCTCTTATCATATTGCATCAGTACATATCGACATTTTAGTCCTAGAAGTATGCAGGATGTTTGCCACATGGACCTAGTTTAGTGACCTTAGCTCCCACGTGACCCCTGTAGCTTAGTGGTAGAGCATCTGGCCGGGCTAGTAAACAGATGATCAAAGTTTTAACTCCTGTTGGATGGGTGTACTCGAACTTTTTCATTTCGAGCCGCCTGTGTCAGACTTAAAAATCATCTTTCTCAAACTAATTACCGCTGATACTTGCAGCTTCTTTGTTTTTATGTCTGATTAGCTTTTTCCTTGCAACTGAGTGAGAATAATTCACAAATACGTCAGATGTTCACGATTTTCCGAGTTTGACAAACATTTAAACATTACCTAACGACTGAAGCCGTCGAGCCACAGCCGCAGCAAATCTTCTTTCACCGCCCAAGTTTGTTGTTACAAGTTTATAGATAGGTCCACTAAAAAAAACAAAACAAAACAAAGAAAACATTAGAGCCAGTAAAACTCTGGAGAAAAGCGGAGCCCCCGAGCGCGCCAATTAGACGGTGAACATTATCACGTGATATCTCCCTCCTCTGACTCCCATGGTACAAAGGGGATTTTGGCGAAAGAAAAGTGATCATGGGAGTAGCCTGTGTAAAGCCGCCCCCTCCCTTTTCCCGATTTTTCCCAAGGGGAGAAGGCGGCTGTACACAGGATATTATGGAAGTAGTGATATTCCAGGAAAGCCTTCAGATTTTTAATCACAAGGAATTTTATTTTTTGTTTTACTAGACTGTCCAATTCTTGGCAGGGTAACCGCAAAAGCGTGAAGCCAAGTATTGTGCCCCGTGACAGTTCCCTTCCACGTGAGAGATAAACCACACCACAGAGGTCTACCTCTCACTCTCTTCTCCAACAGCAGTGTGGGTTCTTTTTACGTCCCCTTCGAATTGTTAAGAAAGGATGAATAAGACAAGGCCAATGGATTAACATCACCGCCCACTGACGTGACTATCAGATCATCTGGACTGAGACAAGATCTTAGATAACAGGCAGCATGATATGATCAGTTTTTTGAAGACCCTGGTTGGTGTTGGGTTTAAACGGCGGGTTTAAACCTGCTTGGCAGAACGCTACCCTTCCAACAAGGCTAATCAAGCGGAGGTACAATTAAAAAATGGTAAACGTGCAGCGCGCAACCATTTCCTTCTTCTTTAGGAAATAGCTTATATCAAAGGGATAGGAGCGTTTGTGTTTGGGCAGTGCATGTACCTTGTCTGGTTTGACCGGTGTGATCTTCCCAGTTGCTGAACAGCTTTGTCAGCACTCCAAGGCAGCTCAATGGTCACATGAACACGGCGGCACTGATTGGCTGCTCGGACATCCGCGTGTAACGAGATACCTGTGTAATTCAATGAGTCTTACAAATGATATCACACAGAATATTGTAATATTAAATCATTTGGAAAACAGTCGATGTACCAGGTGGTATACGACCCCAAGTAAATTATCGTCTTGTCTTGTCACTTATACACATTATTTATTGCGGTTCCTTTTACCGGAGGAAAACCTTTTATTCCTGCTTGAGTAGCACTTTAAGTCAAGAAACATCACTCTAAATTTCAAGTCTCTACACGAAATTCCAAGTAATGGCAACTCAATTGAACGCTAACAGACACTGAGCCAGCGATTCTTTGTGTGAAAATAACTTCAAGGTTGCCTCAAATTTCGAGTATTAAAAGAATTTAAAAAGTGCAATGTTTAATCCAGGTAACTTCAAACGAATCAAGATACAAAGGGAACCTACCAGTGCTGGCGGCATCAGATATGATGGCAACAAGTTTTGTTCCATTCATAAAACTGTTCCTCTGCGATACAATGCAATCGAAAAAACAACGTTGAATGTTCAGATATACTCAAACAACTCTCTAAAAACTGTGGTATTTAAAGAGGCAGTTCTTGAGCTTCAAGCAATTGCTTTATGCCGACTTAGTTGTCATAGCGAAAGCGAAAAATACTGGGGAATGAAACGAAGATCCGAAACCGGATTGCTACCTGAATTTAAGGCATAAGAGTTCAGATTTAGAGTAAGACTTTAAGGTTGGACTACACTTGAAAACTTGTAATCCCAGGTACAACTAACAAACGCAAGCACTAGGTTGTCTTTCTCGCGCTGAAACGACGGTCCTGTTTTTAAATGTAAGGGACAAAGGCAGAGTTCATCCTCGGAGACCCAGGGGCAGTCAGTCAGGTCGGCAGAAACGGTGCGACGAGTCGTGCGACGAAAGTTTTCGACCTGGCTGCCTGCTCCAGGGTCTTGGCCGAGGATGACGTCTGTGCTGATGACTGTAATTACCGACTGTAAATCGCATTTTCTACCATTTTATTCAGTACACGGCGCAAGATTTAGTTCTGATTACTTTGCTCACCTCTTGAATATTCAAACTATCCACATCGCTGCTGTCTGATTCTCGAGCCTCGTAATGAGGTTGAGGCTGCTTGTCAGTTTTTACCACGCGACCACGCCTGCCTGTCATTTCTGCTACTTTTCCTGGTCCTCCGAGCTGGTTTATAAGGTCATCAAGAGGACTAGAGACAAAAATAAGTCAAAAAGGTACGAAGGTAAAGTCTGCGTTCGAGCCAGGTAGCCCATTTGGCCGTAGCACATTCCGATCTCCATAGCATGAAGCGACTAGGAATATATTTGCTCTTCCTTGGACGGGATAGTAGTCAATAACAGGATCCCTCCCACCTCCACCCAGGATTAAATCTTTTGGTACCCAAATTTATACACCTGGGTGGAGTGAGACAGTATATTGTAGTCCATAACAGGATCCCTCCCACCTCCACCCAGGATTAAATCTTTTGGTACCCAAATTTATACACCTGGGTGGAGTGAGACAGTGTATGGTAGTCCATAACAGGATCCTTTCCATCCCCACCCAGGATTAATCCCAAAAATAATACGGCAAATTTGTTAATTAAGAATATTTTTAAGTACTGAAACTGGCTTCTGTCGTCTGTTGCAACGGATGGCAAGAATGGACATGGATTTAAACTTGAAAACGTTCTACCAAATTGTTCAAGTTTTAATGCTATGCCTGTAACAATCACCAAAAAAAAATAGTGGTTAGTGCTCCATGATTAAAAATTTGTTTGCTATTTTCTGTATAATTCCTCAGGAGTATTCTGTATTTAGGTTTAGGTACTAAGTAGGGACTTTTTCACAGCATTGACCTAAAACAGCAATAGCTCATCATAGTTAGACAGGCTCTTTAAAAGGGTTTTAAAGAATAGAACATTGATACAAACCTGATTGGGAGATTAATTTTCTTGACAAAACCTTGTAGAAGATTTTTAGCCTGAACACTCCACTGATCTTCAACAACATCGCCATTCTACACAAAGAACATAATAGCCTTGATTTCTCTCTTTTTTTAAAAAAATTTACTAAACTTCACATTATCCGAAACAAAAATAAAAAAGTGAGTAAACAAGACTGTTGGACTGGACTTCTGTGGCTTATGAACCATAACAGGAGAAGTACCATCAAATCTTTGAAATGTGGAAGGCAGAAAGTGTGGCCTGTAGAGCAAACAATTTTTTTAACTAAAGCCTCGAGGTACAAATGTATACTGATCGCGTCCGCCATCTTGAATTATTTTTTCACTGACGCCAACTGAATAGGTGACTGAACTCTCTGTCAGTTTCAATATCCCAGATGGCGGGAGAACAGTCACCCTGCAAAATACGCCTGCTTTGAAGGTTACAGAAAGTGTATTACATTTAAGTGATGTTGAGTATAGAGTGGATTTTCAAAATTATCCATTCGTTGTGTGATGTGCCATCCTTGAGATTGACCTGCAAAGCTGGTGGAATGAGAGCGCAGGAGTGCTTTTCAGCGGCGCCGAAGTCGCAAGGGGAAAGAGCAGGGATGTAATTAAGGGGTCCGGGACGGGGAATTCCCCCTGGAAACTTTGAGTAGGGCCCCCGGCTACTTACATAGGAAATAGAAGGAAAAATGAACATAAAGAACTTCCCAGCTGTAAAACTTTCCGTCGAAACTTTGCATAAAAATTATGCCCGGCAACTTAAAATCTTAGTGAACGGACCTGAAAGAGAGGTGTCAACTTGACTTATCCTCAGTCATCTCTGATCTTCAAAGCCAGAACAAAAGCGCTCGTGAAATTAAGCACTCGCGTGAGTTAAATCTCACCAGCTAAGAAGGGTTGTTCAGAATTACTCACCGATTTGATTATCTCAGTTGGAAAATACTGCGTGATAAACCTGCTAATGATTTCTTCTGTACTTGAGACAAAGCCATTCAGTACTCCACCACACCGTGATATTTCACTTTCCAAACTTGCCTGACAAATAAAACAATGACTTAAGCCAAACTCTATTCAAGCAACTACTTTCTCACGATCATTGAGGAGTTAAAGCAACGACGACAACAACAGTAACAAAAACGTCTCCTAAAAAGGGAATTCATGCTGTTTCAAAATTCCTCGCTGTTATTCCATGTCGTTGAATTTGTCAAATGTTGGTGAATTTTTCTGGAGTTCAATTCGAAGGGTCATATATCTAAGTTAAAAAAGTATTTGAAAAATGGTTCTGTTGTGCTATCGCTCGGTCAATAAATCAAGGCCTTGGTCTGGGACTTCGCTGTAACGACCTCACTCTCGGTTTATAAGTAGTAAGTAAATAACCGTCGGTCATTGAACAATACCTGAGTAAAATTATCAAAAATGGCCCATGACCTACGAAATCTAGTGACCTGTGGTCGATCATGCCTTCTGGACAAAATTGATAGTCTTGCTGTAGCCTATCACTTTCCAGATGAACAAAATCCGCCTTGACAGGTGAATTGCTGGACCAACGAAATAACATTATTGCAGGGAAAATACGATGGCCATTATACATCCAGCGGCCAAATCCAGCAATTTGCAGGAATTCTTTAAAGACGAATTGTGCGTTCTCGATAGAATCCAACCATTTTTTTGTTTTGTCAAACATAAATACTGCGTAGACCGTACATACGTCCTTAAGGGTCATAAAATACTTGCAGCGATAGCCTTGCATCAAGTGCATCCCCTAATAGAACCTACAATGTTATGTGAAACTCTCTATACAATGTGAGGGGCGAACAATTATTTGGTACGTACTTTCTACTAACTTTGCAAGAAGTTCTCAGTGTCTCAAACATTACTTTTTGAACACTGGCTGACCTTGAAATAAAGAAATTTTTATGTCATCAGAAACTGTAACCCTTTTTGAGTGGATACGAAAAAAATTGGAGAGAAAGAGAAAACAAACCTCTCCAGTGGACTGGAGACCAATGACCACACAATATCCTGCCTGCAATGCTTGCTGGGCTTCTTCCACTATGGTAGGAACTTTCATACTCATGCTGTAAAAATATTCATATACATCTTATCTGTTATCAGACCCAATATAAGCAAGGTTACAAAGTAAAAATGCCTGCTGGCGCTTAAAGTGGAACATGATACTGGCAAAATTGTCCCATGTGATTATTATACGTTTCTGGGAAACTGCCCACCTACCCCTCCCCTAAGCCAACATCAACACTTGCTTCTCACTTAGGGCAAAACGTTAGCTTAAGGGAGGAGTAGGTGGGCAGTTTCCCAGAAACGTATAATGATCCGCCCAGGATCAGGTAATCCGGATTTCGGAATCCAGGAAAAATTTTCGTGTGATAACCGGAATCCTGGACTTTGGAATCCGTAATCCCGCTAACGATTGGAAATCCCAAATCCAAGTTCCAGTGATAACAAATCCGGAATCCACAGCGTGCAATCCAGAATCAAAGACTGTCTTGGATTACGTTACATTGCCACTGTCACGAAGCCGTTCAAAAACTATAATTTCATTCGCTCTACCAGGTACGTAGCTCTACTATTTCAGGGTTAGGGTTTGTTTCCGTTGCTTCTTCATTAATTTCTCACGCAATCCTGGTAGCTGTTCCGAGAGCTCCCAAGCGGCCCACGAATATAGCCATTTCCGAGTTGCCTCACGCCTCTATTTCAAAGAGAGGCTAAGTGCGAAGCCATTGATATGAAAATGCTTTTTTTTTAATTCTTATACAAATGAAATTCGTTTACTTTTTTTTAGGTTTTGTACTTAACCTCGCTTGGACATGGGTCGGTGTTGAGTCGAACTGCACTATGGGACTGTTCTGGGGATGAATTTTGACCCAGTTTCCCTCGTAACCTCGTAATATCCAATAAAAAGGCGATAGCGTCTGCAAACAGTCCCACAGTACCATTGGAGACGATACCGATTTAGTCTTACGTATAACTTTAAATAGGCCGATGAACTAGCATCAAGGACAACATTACTGGAAATAAGAAGGCAAAAATGTTAAGGTGAAACTTAAGGTCGACTATTTAAACGAGGTCTAAAAATCAGAGCGCCTCCTTATTCGTTTGTAGGGTATTGATTTTAAGTAGATAAATGGTTTTCTAATTTAGGCTGTCGCCTTCTTGTTGATGTGAACAGCAAACGATGACAAGGTAAGAGCGTTAGAACGGTTTTTGTTAAATAACGTTTAAACTTTGTTGTAATATCCGCCCCTAAAGGACCAGAGACGGGATTAAATACTCACCAGAGCTGTTTGAAGAACCGCTGATGACAGGACCAAAAGACTGACCACACCCTTGGTGTAGAAGAGGTGGTGCGACCAATGGCAAATTCTAATGACTTCTTTAACTCGCTCCTTTAAAGAGAAAAGGAAAAAAAGCTGAAGCATATTCACACTATGATTGTGAAAGATACACACAACCGTTACCTCTTAGAATACCGACTGTGATTGTTGTTTTGCTTTTGCTTTGACTCAAACAAACGCATAAGTTTTGAGTGCAATTTCTACGAAATCACACAAGTTAATCCCGGAGCCCTGGTACAAGAAACCACTGAATGATTACGTCTCAAGTTGTGGTCTACTTAAAGCAGTTAATACGAAGATTTACCCTTTTTACATTGCCATACGTACCAAACGTGAACTGCAGTGTCATAAACCTTTCTCTGTTCCGCAGTCAGTGTCGCCTCAACATTAACAAACTGCAGAAATGCGACAAAAAACATTATCAAAGTTTATTAACAGAAAAGGAACAGAAGTGAAGTAATAAGCATTGCAAAAAAAGCGTTATATTTCAGTATGATAGAAAAACTTCTGCTTACAACAGAAAATTACGATGCCATTTCTAAAATTATGCATTACCTCAGCCTGTCTGAAACTAAGACCTCTAGAAACGTACATCCCTGATGCCTTCATTTCCATAGCTAACATTTCAGAAGCACCTAGGAAAGATTTTAAATGACCTTGAGATACATCGTTTCCGCCGATGGAGAAGTGTAAGCTCCTGTTCCAGGAGTTCAGATTGTGAGGACGACGCAAGGAGATATGTGCAGAAAAACAGCGAGGAGTGGGGTAGGGAGTGAGGGCGAAATTCCTTCCTCTCAGGAGAGACTCTCTCTCCCTCTTTGTCCTTATTTTTTTCCCGTTCTCTAACTTCGCACCACACTCCACTATTTCAAAGCCTGAGACAGGCTATATAAAAGGCGACCATGATTTCCGAGACGTGGTAATAGCATCACCATGGCGCATCACCGTTCTAGCCACTAGCCTAGCTAGCCGTCTCTCCACGGTTATAGTACAGGTGGTCTACCCATAAATTAGGCTAAGGTTTCGAGTAATTTGCCAGAGCCGGTACAAGGACGCGCTGCACCTTAAGATCTTTAACACTCTTATCACAGCTAAGCATTGTACGGCAGGCAGGAGTTCTTCGAAAAATGACCAGAAACGAACATCCATTACTTCCCCTTGGCTTAGATCGAATCATTTGATAGCTTTCTTTTTAGAGTTCCAAGTATGGAAAAAGGTGACTGAGAATACTTAGTTACAATTTCAGCACAACTTTGACAAGAATATGGAAGTCATCTTGATATAACCCCTTTATCCCACTGAGTACCAAACGTGATTACCATCAATTTTCTCCTAAAAATATCCATACATCATTACAGGAAAAAGTTTAGAGAATTCATAAAATAATCATTTAAATCTCTCAACTAATTCTTTAAGGAAAAGTAGGGGGATCAGTGGAGAGAATTTGTATGTGGATCATTGGGGCTGAAAATAGACTGCAAGCAGTCTCTCTTTTCCTTCAGATTTAGTGAGGGGAGTGTACGCGCGCGAGAGAGCGTTGCGCGTGGTCATTTGCGTGTCTCGCGCGTTTTGCTCGACGGACTTGGAAAAAAGAGAGAATGCTCGTAGTCTAGGCTGAAAACTATGCCACTTACCAAGACCTCTCTTAGTTATGCTGGCTAGAAAAGAATCAAACGATTTAAATGCTGTTCCATCTCCCCATAAACCAAGTCTCTCCATAAATGCCTGGAAATAATCAAATCACTGTATCAGTGTACTGTATTGATTGACCGTTGGACTGAAGGGGACCATTGTCAGAAACCTAAGGCTTCTAGACATGGTTGCTGTAATAATCTCTCAGCAATTATTGTAGGGTTTAAAAACTTCACGCAACAAGAGTCTTTGTGCTCTTCTACTGAGTACCTAGAAATCATGTACCTTGAACCAGAGTTTAATACCATCAACTGACGTGATACAACTGACTTTGACCCTGACACCCTGTCCACACCTATCGGGATATTTTCGAAAATGGGGATTTTTTTCTCGATTTTGAAAAAAAAAATAGGCGTATACATGAATCGTGTTTGAATCGTTTTTGCCTGTCCACATGAAAACCCTACAACGATGGAAAGACGATAGCAGCTCTTACAGAGCATGTGTAACGCTAGTAGTATATGGTGGATGACAATCGTGTTCACAAATCTCCGTTTTCAACAGCCCACTTTAAACGAGAAGCCGGCGTTTTAAAAAATCTCCACTCTGGGTCTGTTTTTGAAAAGGCCGTTTATGTGTGGATGGAGGCAAGAATGGAGAAAAAAGTCTCCGTTTTCAAAACTATCCGGATACATGTGGATAGGGCCTGAAGACCTGTCAAAACGTTAATCACTGTCAACAACAGTCCTGTTCAGTACACTTATCCCGACGATCATAATTAACGTCGGCTGCATCTAAGCGTGTACACCTGAGGAAAAAACATGTTCCAGTTGGCTACAAACTTACCTTTGGCTTAAAGGCTTTGGCAAATGTTTGGCGGCAAAACACGTCATGTCTGGCACTCTATTAGAACATGTTTTTTTTTTGTCTCGTGTCAACGCTTAGATGCAACCGACGGTATTTCGCCTTAAAAAATCTTTGTTCCCAGGTACAAAATCAAGTCACAAGATCAAGTTTCACTTTAAAGTTTTAACTTTGTACAGTGGTATCTTATAAGATGCTGACTGCGTACAGCATACTTTTTAAAGGTACATGCCAACCTTTACTTAGTGCATTGTTTGCGAAAAACTAGCAAAGCAAAGTTGGATACCTTTTAATAGTAACAAGCTGTTTCCTGACACTCAGTGAAAATCACGTTATTGTCAATTATATAAAAATTAATAATACATCACTCTACACCCACCATATTTTTTACATCTGTCACACCAGTTGCACTACAGTACACAACACGAGCTTTGGGTAGCATTCTATAAAATGAGAAAAGAATAAATCTTTAAAAAAAGAGAGAACTTGGGTACAGCACTCACTGTAGGGGAAGCGGGGGGTACTCTGTAGAGACAGTAAGGAGGTCAGGTATATTTAACAATTATTCCACTCGTGCGTGTTGGATGAGTTGACTATAATCATGTCATATACAACAAGCACGAGTGGAATATTGTTTTATTAAAAACGCCCGCAAAATATCGAGAATTCGTCCGGACTTTATTTGTAAAAACAACCAATTTTCAGCTTGTTTTTAATTTTGAGCAGACGTGTACAGTTACCATATTTGGGGAGCATCGTATAAGGGCTCATATACCGTGATGGCTTTAGAAGCCAATCAGAGCTCTAGAATAGTATTATCCAATGATTCAGTTTTTAATAATAACTATTACATATTCTAATCTTTGTAATTTGAAGGGTGCACGGAACAATGCCCCTAGTGACACTTGACATGATATCAAATCCTCCTTTCACATACCTTATTATAGGAAATTAACGCTCCATGAAATTAAGGTATTGGAAATTAACGCGACTTAAATTAACGCGAATTTAATGGAAAACGACTTTCGAATAAAGAAAATTAACGCGAAAGAGGAGGTAGAATTTCATAATAAAGGAAATTAACGCGAATAAAACAGAGGAGAAGATATTGACATCACTTCTGACAGCGACAACGATGAAGATGAACTCGAAATATTGTAAACCTTCGCCTTAGCTTTTATGAAAGATGAAAAATAAAGGGTAAATGGAAAGAAAGAAAGCATGTAGTTAATGTTTTTTAGGTGTCAAGAATGTCTGGACAGATTCCAAAATTGGGGTTAAAATACTAGAAATTAAGAGCTCGGAAATTAACGCTGCACTTAATTAACGTCGCGGAAATTAACACTCAACAAAATTAACGCCACTTAAATTAACGCGAATTTTAACGATTCGCGTTCAATTCAATTCAATTCTTTATTCACACTATACAAGATATTTACATAAGTGTACATAGTAGGAAAATAAAGTAGCTACAAATAAAAATTAACTAAAAGATATTAAGTTCATTTGTGTACGGTGTCCAAAGTAGCAAGAGCTTTCTTCTTGGACACCGTCATATTGAAATAATTGGCAGCAGTAAACAGTGGAATAAAATCTCAAATAATATCAGTGATAAAACATATACTCAGGTCAGATTTGGTTGGTTAGAAGACAGGACTTCCATTCTTTTTTAAACTTATGATATGGCAGACACTTGAGACCAGGCGGTACAGTCTCCCAGATTTTTGGAGCGGAGAATTTAAAGGACGTCTTACCTAAGTTGGTGGATACTCTTGGCCTAAAATAGTTCAGATTACTGACAAATCTTGTATTATGATTGTATATACACGATGCTGGAGTCAGGACATCAAGGAAAATATCTGGAATGCTATCGGTCTCATTTCTCATTCTATGTATAAAGTAACATATTTTTAATTTATATATTATCTAATTTAAGGATTGTTAGGAGTTTGAAATAGGGAGCAGCACTCTCTCTAGGATGTACAAAGAAGATGGTGCGGAGACATTTATTATGTTTAATACGAAGACAATCTAATCTGGTTTTGCTGGCACAGCCCCAAGCAAGAATACCGTAACTCAAATAGGGATATATTAAAGCATAACAAATTTGTTTCAGTATATTCAGATCTATGTAATATCTTAGTTTTGAAAGGATTCCTAAATTTTTAGCTAATTTATTATTTACATGTTGTATCTGTGGTTGCCAATTGAGATGTTTATCTATATAAACTCCCAAGTACTTTATGTAATCTTTCTTGAAAAAAAATCTATTTACTGATATTGGGTTGTCACTGAGATTTCAAGTTGTTGGATAAATACAACAAGTAGGCAGGGAATCAAACAGCTACGGAATTCTTTTGGTTCTGTTTCTTCTATTTTCCTATGAAAGTAGCTGGGGACCACATTCACAGTAGCCGGGGGAAATCCCTGGCCCCCAGTTCTTAATTACTGCCCTGCTCATACATAAATAGGACATAATAAGTTATAGGTTAACAAATTGAAGTTTTCGTTTTGGATTTTGTTTAAAATTGGGCTCTTTTCTATATCATACAGCTGTTTAAGGTAATTCTATTTTGTGGCCTAAAGATGAATTCTTATGTCAGGTGTTCTCCTTATAATGCGGTAACCGGTAAAATTTACCATCTGAAGCAACACTTCTTACTGACTCACTGCAACTGTTTGAAGGTTTACTAAAGTTAAATAAGTTGTTTTTAAAAAAAGTTGTGTTCTGATCAGATCAAGGTAATGAATGAATATTTGGAAGTGTACTAAAGTATACACAACTTTTCTTTTTTATGGGCCAGAGGGCATTGAAGACAGAGTAAAATTATTGCAATCAAATGTGTGAAATTGTTGTCTACAGATAACAATGGCTAACTTGTGTAAAATAGGTCTTAAAAATGAGGGAATGACTTTTCAGAGAACTTAGCTGCCAAATTTCACAGCGAGGTAGAAGGCATGTCCCTCATTCTACTACCCCCCTCCCCGCAAGGAAAATGCCCCTCTAGCACACATTTTTTTTACCCTACCGGCCATGAATGGTCCCTTAACAGCTGAGCTAAAATTCAGGGAGAACACTGTATGTCTGATAAGGAAGAAGCCAGGCAAAAAAGCCAAACCAATCTTATGTTATTTAGAGAGAGTGAAACTTGTCAGTTCCAAGAACTGAAAACCTGTGGCATTCTTAGGCTCAGTTCAAACGTAAAACTTTTCATGTACCAAACTTGACACCTATTTAGGTTGTCCCAAATGATATAAGTTCGTTGGTTCATTCAGACATCAAACTTAAGAAGCCCGACTCAATTCATTGTCACGATGTTTAATGGTCTGAAATTAATATTTAACAGTGAAAATAGATTACTGTAATTTATACATTAGGTTCAGTACAAGAAAAATTTGATGTTTGCTCCACAGTAAAAATTCCCATGTGGGCCACTCGAACTTAATTCATGGGTCGACCCAAATTAGACATGTCGGACTCAATTCTTGGATATTTCGCAAAATTTTTGAATTTCAAACTTGATACATATACTTTTGGCAGAGACTACTTTATTTATGTATTTTAAAAAGTAGACCTCTGGATCTGTTGGGGGGTGCAAGCTCACATGTCGCACCCACCCTCCCAAAGGGCCTGCTCATGGCATCAACTCTGGACACTGAACTCAAGCCGCATTGGTGAGAGACAAGTGCTCAATCACAATTGCTCCATCCCTGCTCCCTGCTTCTTTCAAATTGTAAAATTATTAGTACTTTAATTATTACATAAGAGTGTTAATTACATGCTAACAATTGATATTCAACAATGAAGTAGAATAACTTTATCATACCTTTGTATTGTTGTGACAGCAAGAGCAACTTTTGTGCTGGATTCTTCTTTGCCCTAAAATGAAATAAGCTACAGTGAGCAGAGTACTTAATTGAATCCATGACTTGTAACATCTGTCTCTGCTGTCAATATGCATCATTGGTGTCAATTTGCATGTGTGGAAAGTGTAATGGTTGTGCATTCAAAGTGTAACAAGACCAATTGCATTCTCAAGAAACCCACTGCGCAGTCATGCTTTACGTGAACTGTATGTAATGTAAAGGGAATACAAACTGTGGTCCTCTCATCCTTTTCATTCAAAACACAAGTTGAATACAATGATGATCAGTAGCAGTTTCTAATAAACTTAAGTTGAATAATGAGTTTTGGTCTAATAATCCATGTTTTTTGCCTTAAATATGTATTTACATGTATTTGCTGCAGTTATGAGTGTGAAGAATAAGGGCTAAACCATTGTAAATCACTTACAGGTACAAAATGCTTTGCTTTATGACACTCATCAAATATGAGGCATCCATTAAACTGCTCACCACCACACCAGTCTATGAGCTGTTGCAATCTGCTTTGACGATTGGCACCTGTCAAAAAAAACAAATCAGATCAACAAAAACAGGAACCTTGTCTATTGTCAGTGATAGATGACATTCACACTGCACACTCACCTTTTTGAACAGACGACACCAGTGTTGCGTATGTACTGAAGACAACACCCTCTTTAAAATCAGCAGGTAAGCCAAATACTCTGTAAAACAAAATAATGTCAATGTTATTGGATTTGTTTTAAAATTCCTACTGATCTATTATTACTGTCAAATAAATCACAGAATATTGCTAATATAGAGATGTGTGATGTCATGTTACCGTGGAAGCAAGATTTCTGGATCAATAATCTTCCTTGACAGAGACGGATGGCCATTTGTATTGTCCAATGATGGAAGGAAAATACCAGCCACCCTTTCATTCTTAAGTGCAATAATGCACAAAAAAAAAAATTTTGTTGTTTTTTTCCCCACCATATTGGCAGGACCACAGTTTGTTGAGACCCAGAAATTTTGCTACCATGGCAGTGTGGAAGCAATAGTTGGCTTGGAAACATTTTGGATCAGATTATCACTTGGGGAAAAATACACCTGAATTGAAGGAAAATGAAAATTAATGAAACTTGCATGCACAGATTGGTTTGAAAAAGAAATCTTAGAAAATAATTATTAAGAAAAGGAATTTATGTACCTTGTCCAAGAATATGTTGTGTTACATAATGATAACAACAGACATCAGCTAGTGTAGATAACTTGTAGTATTCAGAGAAAGATTTAAAAAATTCCAAAACAGAGAGAACTCTGATAGCATTTCATCCAAAAATTGAGATTCTGGAACACAGATGTTGAGAGAATTTTTTCTGAAATTTAACAAGATTTTAGACAAAAAGGCAGGGGAAGGCATGGCCCTCTTGCCCCACTCTAAATAATACCCGTGGTATTTGAGTTCATGTACCTGGTTTCTTTATCCAGCTGCTGACAACCGTCTATCACTTTGACAAAACAACCAATGTCATGTAAATCTCTGACAAATGAAAAACAATCAGAAATTTGTCAGTTTCTTGGGTTATAGTATTTTACAGCTATACAGAGAGAGAGAGCAATTACCAGCATCCCTGATTTTGTAACAAACTGCTATAGGGATTCACATCATGAAAAATCTGTCACAGTCCAGAATCAGTGAATCCAAATCCAAAGCCGATTTTATCGATTTTATTGGATTATTGATGTGGAAATGCTTCTGAATTCCTTCCAATATTACCCCTGGACCATTTTGTTCTAGCGGGTGAATGGGTTACATGTAAAAGTGCGAAAAAAATGTGGTATTATGAACTTAATGCTGCAGTGATTTTGTTACCCCTGCCTGTGCATCCTGTGCCCCTGATGCATCAGATCTCCAAAGATGCAAAATAATTTACTGCCTGCATCCTGTAGGATAGACTGAGGGACCAGAAGATGATTTTGAAAAAGAAAATCCTGTCTATGACTTCTAATCTGTAATAAAACCTACCTTGCCAATAAGTCATAGAGAGTAGACTTTTTAAAAGGTATTTTTTGGAAAAATTCCCAGGAGTGAATGGGTTAAAATCATTGACTTAAAAGGTCAAAATTCCATTGAATACATTTATAATCAGACTTTGGCTAAAAAATAATCTGAACACACCTTTGGGCATCTAATCGTAGGTCAGCTGAAATACTAAACCATATATGTCTGGATCTTCCACGTGCAAAATTGTCCAACACAATGCCAGCAATCTACAGTAGAAAACAACTGGAGTGTAATCTTGACGACAAAATTAATGGGCTTAAAGTCAAACAGTTCTATATTCAAGGTTTGTACAACTTCAGACAAACAAATTTCTACGACATTTCAAGAATTTTTCAAGGACAAATGACAGTTTTCCAGGACTACGATATTTCTGTTAAATCGTAGGCATTCTTTAACCCCCTTTGATCACCCTATTGGCTAAAACATGTCATGGAGTCATTTACGATTTTGACTTCTTTGGCCATATCATTGATCACATTATTTTATACTCCTTTCCATAACAAGACTTTGCAAAATGACTGGGTATGACATGCAATTGCATCTGAGGTGCAGAAATTAAGCATAGTTAACTGTGAGTTTTACATGTCAATTCCTACACCGAGGATGAGCTGAATTTTCCTTGGCAAATAATCTAATTTTACAGAAAAAGGTGTCTGGCGTAGACAAGGTTGTGAATTTCAAGGACTTTTTATGACCTAATAAAGAAATCAAGTACTTTTCAAGGACCTAAACCAAATTCAAGGACTTTTCAAGATGACAGTAGTAGAATTAAGACCTTTTCAAGGTTGTATGATCAACCATGCATGTTCTTTTGCACGCCCGTACCAACTGTCACACCCTACCAGCTGATCAAAGACTAATAAAATGCCATAGCAACTCCAATTCTTGAGTGGTTAAACATGGTTTGGAGGCAATGTGGAGGCAATGGAAAATATACGTGATATCACATGGTTTTAAAATGAAAACGAGGCAAGTGCTTTTGCAAACATGAAAATGAGGTAAATTTGCACCTCAGTGAAAATGGCCATTGTTCTTGATTTTTGTCTAAATAAACAAAGCAACAGTTCATCGACTTAACAGCATGAAATTGTACAAAAACAAAATGTACTCACTTGTCTTCCTTTTCCAACCCCAGCACCATCCCCTATAAAGAATCCAGCTCTCTGTCCATTGGCAAGGACCATCTGATGTCTTTGACACTATTAAAAAAATCAACAGCAGTTTATAAAATGAATTTTTCATGCTGTTTAACTTGATTTTATTACTCAAGACCATGACTGTGCAATAACACACTCTCTGCTACCACATCTCCCCAGCAGCTGGAAGGGCCTTTTTTGTAATGAATTTATTTTTAGCTGGAAATCCATCTTTTCCCAAATACTTTAAATGCTTTACGTGGACAGAAGAAAGAGCAATACAAAAGCCGACAAATGTTGACAGAGTTCTTGATACTAATAAGGTGATAATTATACTTACAGCATACAAAACTCCTTCCAGTTGCAAATCACTTAGTTTGCCTGATGTAAACAAAAAAAAAATAGGCTTATCAACATTTCCCTTTATCAACATTTCCCTTTATCAATATTATTACAAAATTATCACCTAAAATACGATCAAACGCCTCCATGCAAACACCTCTATAAGGTCTTTTCATCCTACAGCCTCATGCAAATGGATGCAACATTGTTGGCCAACAGCTCTCAACATTGTTGAATGTTACATGTTGCGTCCATTGGCACACCCTGTTGCATGTTGTTGCAATGTTGTTGCATGTTGTTGGGAGTTGTTACACAAACTTTTAGCCATGTGCAAATGGACACAACAATTCTCTGTCTTGCACATATATAGCTTAAAGACATCTAACTTTATACATATTACTTTACATGAGTAATTAAAGCAGACAGCTCTGTAAAATGAACACTTGGTTCTGTCCCTTTGGTGTCTGATTAAATGAGGGGGGAGGGGGGCAAAGCTGCTGTAAGTAAAGCCCAACTATATGTAAACCCCTTCTTTTCAAGAAGTGACCCAAGTGTCCAATTCAACAAAAATTTCAACTTTCATTTTTAAAGAGTTTTTACACGTAAATGTGGAAAAAACCATTAGTTTTTTAGTCTGATGCCATGTGAAAGTACAGTTGAAGAGGTCTCATTTGAATGGTCGCACATGTTTTTCATCGGTATCATCATTTTTTTGCCAGGGTCTCAATGGTCTCATGGGTTCTTCTGATTCTGGAATTTAAAATGGTTTGCTACTTCTTATTGGCATCATGATTCATTGGTCTCCTGTTTCTGCGGTTCTTGTAGTCCTCAGAGGCTGGTTCATGTACTTGTGGAGGATCACAAAACCGAGGAGAACTACATGTACAAGAACCACGACAACAGGAAGAGCCATGAGAAATACCAACCATGAGAATCAGGAAAACCAGGCATAACAGAGAGCCACAGAGAAAAGGAAACTAAGAGAACTTGAGAGCCACAAGTACCAGAGACTTAAAGAAGCAAGAGAATAACCAGAATGTTGGTCAAAGTAAATATGTCAATTATCATCACCTGTCTCTACTAAATCTTGTGGAAGCGATTTAAACAACTGGTATTTAGCTTGTGGTAGCTGCTGTGCCTAGAAAAGAGAGGGGACATACATTAAGTCAGTAGCCATAATTTTACTTTAAAAAGATAATCATCAGTAAAACCTGCAAAATGAAACAACCTTTTTAAAAACAAAAAATTAATATCAATAGCGCAGACAGTTGAACATTGTGAGAATAAACTGTTCTCAGATAAAATGGAATAATGTTATCTTTGTCCCCTAAAAATAATTGGGAAAAGCGTGATATCACTTTACCATCATGTAACAAGATTTCTGGATCTCAACGGTCCTTCTTTCAAGACAGAAATGGCCATTTCATGATTTGTATTGTTGGATGATGAAAGAAAGGTCCTAAGTGCAATCATAGGAAAGTCATACAGTCCTATTTTTTTCTCCCATGTAATTGCAGGGCCACAGTTTGCTGAGATCCAGGAATTTTGCTAGTAAGCAGGGCAACATGACATAATGACTTCTCTTTGTTGAGGCTAGGAAACAAAGAAAATTCTGACTCAAACAAGGTCTAATGCTTGTTTAACCACACTAGGGACAAATTTGGTACATGTATTTCAAAAAACATGCCGTATACATACTTACCGCCAAGCAACCAGCTTCTACAATATCCCCCGGATGATGTTTAATTCCTTTATGATTTAATGAGTTGCAAGCATAGCTTGAGAAGACATCTTCACTGTAAACAAAACAACCATGGAATTTAAACAGCTTGATGTGGCATGGCATATATTGTGCTACAAAAGTGAGTTAACAGTTGGTTTGGAATAGCAGGCCTAAAAATACTTTTTTTTCCTTTTAGAAAGGGCATAATTGTGTCCTACTAGGTTACCATTTTAGCCAGGCAAACCAGAAAGGTTGTCAGACATCCACAGTGAACTCAATTGATGAAAAGATTAAAGCTGTTTCTCTTTCTCAATTTAAATCAAAATTAAAACAACATTATCTTTCGCTGCACTAATATTGCCAATTATCTTGTACTTTGTAACTTCTATCCTAATTTTTCGCTCTTCTTATGGTAATATGCACTAGTGTGTGTGTGTATATCAGTGTGTTTGTGTGTATACAGTTTGATATGCTGCCATATTGTACTCTGCACAATAAACTTAGTTCAATCATTTTACTGAATGGGTGATTCCAGAAAATATCCATACCCTACCACGGGTGGCATGAGTATTTTAACCCCCCCTTGCCCTCGGAAATTCCAAAATGCTTATCCCCCCCTTGCCTTCCGAATTCCAAAATCGCTAACCCCACCTCTCCTCCGGAATTTTCCACTTTTGTTTCAGACCCTTTGGAATTCCTGTTCGTCTGCCTAAATCTTCAAACGAACGAGAAACTTGCACTTTTTCCCTCTGCAAAAGAATTCTGTTCACAATTTTCAGTCAGACGATCAAGCAACTCAAGTTTGTTAACGTTAGTACACCGTAGCTATTCCTTCTAAGCATTATCTTTAAGCTGCTTACCACCTAATAGAACTTTTTGTTTTCCATTCAATACCGTCATATTTTCAGGAGTAGATCGTATTGATACCAGTGGACGCTGACAAGAGTAAAGTTTACGATCGATATTCCGTCACCCGCCATGTTGCACGCTGTCGGATTTTACTACCTACATCATACATGTTGGCGTGAAAATCGGCGTGAAATACAAAATCTGTCAGGCATTCTATTTGGAAATGAGAGACTGGTGCGAGTTTTCAGCACGCAACAACACATCGTCGATCGACGATCGGCGAGAAACACTGACTTGGTTATATTTTTATTAATCACTTGACTAATTCATCAACTTTAAGGCCTCTTTGATGTGGAGCTTGCTGCACAACCCATCTGCTTACCCATCTGCATGAACGCATACTTCTTCCGTGGTCGGTTCGTGCTTCATTTACAAACTGGGAATGTTAACAGGTCAACGATTTCAAGCGGAGCTTTCGCCGTCTTTCCTCTGGAAATTCACTGAATTCAGAGCTGAAACACCCCCCCATGCCTTTGGAATTCCAAACTGCGTTACTCCCCCACGTCTTCGGAATTCCAGTGCAAGAAACCCCCCCTCTCCCTCAGAATTCCAAGATGCCGCCCGTGGTATGGTATGGATATTCTCTAGAATCACCCAATCTGGCTTCTTGGCATTTTAAACTTATTAGTTATTTCAGAAAGTCAGTACCCCTTTTAGTTAATTGATTAATTTAACAACTTGTAAATAACTATAATATTCTGCTTTGGGTACAATAAAAATTGTTGTTGTTGTTGTTGTCGCTGTTGTTGTGAAACCAGTACAGTCAAACCCTGTTATTTTGGACACTAAGGGGGCCATAGAAAATGTCCGTATTAGTGGGGTGTCCATAATAAGCAGGTTGAATTTAGAGAAAATGTAAGGGCTTTCTTACCCCATGGACAAATCAAACTGTCCGTAATAATGAGGTGTCCATATTAAGCGGGTGTCCATAAAGTGGGGTTTGATTATATTAGATGGAGACCCTTGAGGAATAATCTTGTGTCCATTTAATACAGCAAATACCCATAAAGAGGCTCAAGTATTAAGACGGAATCCACCGGGAAATTGAGTAATTTTAATTTAATTCTGAAAATTTCATGTGAAAGATGCAATTTTGTGAAATTTGGCATTTCATTTTCTTGGGCTTCAATAAGAAATTTTCTTTGGTATTATTACAGATGACTAATTACATCTTTAGCCCTTGAAAAATGTAAAAAAGAATGCAATATGCTTTAAATTATTCTGGTACAAGGTTTTTGTCCACTGGAAATCAAAATTATTCAATTTCCTGGTGGATTCCGTCTTAAGGTCAAATGAGTAAAATAAGCGGTTATACAAACAAAATGAAATGAGAAAACAGTACTGTGCAACTGATCAACAGGTTAGTTAAGGCTGCCGGTATGCATCGCATGTTGAGACCTCATCGATTGAGATTAGCGAGGGGGCGGGGGGGGGAAGGGAGTGGTGGGGGGGACATAAAATAGAAACAATGAATATGGCCATGTAATAAATCAAGAGCTAGGCTTGGGCTCGTGTGCATATACACCTTTTAAAATTTCAGTAAATTATCTACGTTAAATAAGTTTCCTCCATAATAACACAACTAAGCGAAACCTTGCTACATAAAAGAAAACTCAACCAAGAGTACAAACCTTCGACTTTCTGCCACAACGCCGTGCGCCATCTTGTTCAGCTCCTCGTGTTCCTCGCTCGGGTTTTCAGTGCGATTAATTACAACCCGGCGTGGCGGAACAGGTGATTCTGGACTAGATAGAGCCATGATTACCTTCTGATTATAGCAATTCAGAGGAAAAAGCGATCATTTTCGGTATTTTTACACTCCAATCCCTCTTGTGGTGAATTCTATCGTTTCCCGCAGTTTTGATTATTACCGCCATACCTTGCGGGCGCAAATGAGCCTAGGCCCCAGATCGTCTGTGATCTGTGTCTGGGGTTTTCGATTCCACCCATCTCTCCCAAATGACGGGAAAGTTGGGATAGCTGTAAGTACGTTCAAGCAAGATTTCTAAAACCTGACGCGCTCGAAGCCCTAAGCACCGCAAAGGTTTTGCTGCTCAAGAAGATATTTTTCGTACTGGATCATGTCAAGTATGCCGTATCCTCTAATAAGCCCCCCTCTGTATCTTTAATAAGAGCCCATGACTGTAAATAAGTCCCCCCTCCTCTCCCCTAATTATTCTTCACTAATAAATGAATAGACTGTACAATCAGTGTCGACCATAAAACTTCGTGTGGACTGAGACAGAATGGTTCATTTACCAACTCTGGAAGTTCGGATTTGGTTCTGATCCTAGGGTGCATGACCTCCAACCTTCTTGTACTTGCGCTTTTCCACTTTGTACTCTAGTTCTTTACGGAGAACTCATACCATCATATTTTCTAAATTAAATAATCCCCCCGTCTCTATTAAGTTCCCTCTCAAATTGGCTTGAAATTCCTTAGATCCTCATGGCCCCTCAGTCCCATCAACTCAACAAACATTTTTTCATTCGATCGTTGGTGGCTTACTCATGGCAAAAAGCAAAAACACGCAATTTAAATAACATCAGAGATGTTTTTATTGAGAATTATTATTCATTCAAAATATTTGCCCGATTCTGATTGGCTAAAAGCACACGTTTAATTCACCATAACCGGTTACTGATGACTAAATTTGGAAGAATTTTGTGTTTAGCGAGGAAATGACGTCAAAAATGCAGCGTTCTTACAGGTTAATGCACAGTCAACCGAGAAGACCTGGGGTCGAGGTTGAGTTGTTTTGGTCGGTGAACTTGAAAAATGGCGGACATTTCACTCGTTTCAACAGTAAGAACTAGGCGAAAAAATAGCTAAAAACATGGCAAGAAAAGCAAGAAGACAACTCGAAGGGCGACATCTGCTATTTGGAGAATATTTGCGGAGCTGAACAACTCTAAACGTGCACTATCGAGGCGGAGGGTGAACTTAACATCGATGGATCGATGGAGGTAAGCGTGTTTCAGTCATGTTTTTAAACTAGGAATTATTTTGAATGAATAATAAAAACAATTATTGAATTCGGCTTTCGTATCATATGAAGAATTATGGAGATCTCAGAGGGTGTTATCCGCCTCGGCCTACGGCCTCGACGGATAACACCCTCCTCGATGTCCATGATTCTTCATAAGATACTCAGCCTCATTCATTAATTGTTAATTAATTTCTGCTAATAACTTTCTTCTTGAATCTATTACGGCCCCGGACGAATCTTCGATAGTTTCCTTTCATTTTGCAATATTGTACCACATGCAACAACTATACTACGCTTGGGCTGCCTGTCAGATCAGCTGGCCTACCCTTTTTTGCGCGTGCGCACGTTTGAGAGTTATGGCGGTGAAGCTGCGAGGGAATTTCAAAACGTGTCCTCTTCTTTCCTAAGGTGAGCGGCTTTGCAGCTCCTCTGCCAAAACTCTGTACGCGCTTATGATCCCGCTGACTACGCAGGCTGCAGATTGTGAAGAAACGAAAACAGCTAGCATGTGACAGCTTAATAATTTGTTTTATTTTTATGTGAGAGATCGAGGAATCTAAAAACGGTCTTAAAAATATAAATCTAGCACGCTATGACCCAGGCGTTTTGCAAGAACATTCCTGGGTAAAGGGCTCAGTCCTGATTAGATCCTAGGTGCCTTGCTGCTAATACAGTTCTTGTTATGCTTCTACTTTTACTTCCTATTCAAACGTTTTAAGATTACTTTCTCGATATGATCATTACTGGTTAACTGTTTATAATCGTTTGGTCTGAAATTGTCTGATTACTGGGAAAACTCCTTCTCCATATTTAATCACCACTAGCTTCAGGTGGCACGTTGTAATATGGACGATCTTCATTGTGTTCGTTTAGATGCAAGTATGGTGCATCTCTCTCCATTATCACCTCCAGTTTTTCGATCAGTTGATAGAAACTGGGACGAGAGGGAGGTTCCTCTTTCCAGCAGTCAGCCATCAGCTCATATCTGTTATGGACAAAAAAACAAAAAAAACAATTGAAGTTAGTCAGAGTTCCAATCCATTATTACATGTATAGACACCGTTTTTCCGATTAAGTGGAAGAGTTTTCCTTTAGACCAGCTGGGAGCCACTCACCCCGGATCATTAGGCTTGTCGGTTTCTTGCCAAGCCTGCGAGCAAGCTCTCCATTTGGGGGATCTCTTCAAGTACACGCAAGTGCGACACGCCAGAGGAAACACGACAGCGAGGGGCCCCCCGCTCGCGCGTACTCGCGCGGTTCGTTTTCCTCGCCCAAATGGAGAGCTTGCTCGCAGGCTAATTCTTGCTCTGTCGATCTCTGTTTAATAACACTATCATATCACTGTATGAAACAAATATTTAAGCTAAGATTTTGCCATCCATCTGTTCAGTAATCAATTTGATCGAAGAAAACGTCAAAATCGAAACCGACTTGTCCTCTGCAACTTTCAAGCCTATTTATAACTAAAAAGATCGAATCTTTTTGTTAGTTCTAAGACTATTCTGATCAAGAAACGTACACATCATCGGAGCACATGTCAGGCCTTTCCATGCGATAACCAGTGCCAAGCAGTCGATACAACTCTGAGTTGGTCAGCGTGGGGTATGGTACGCCTCCTGATCACGTTATGCGAAAGAAAAAATATACATGTTATTATTTGAAAATATGGCTCATTCCTCTGGATAGCTTTTACCTGGAAATGTCAATGTCGACGACTCTTCATTCCCCCGCACTCAATAATGCCGTTTTGCAATAGAATAGTGATTGAGCAGGGGTCAGAATTGCATTGAAATGTGTCGTCAAAGAAAACAGGGTGCTTAGTAATAAGGCTCCTCTTTCCAGAAAACAACTAATGCGTGCATATTTGATGCCGATTATCACTTATCAGACATAGAGCCTAGTTCAAAACAAAAGTGCCAAGCTTGCCACAAATAAAAGTCATCAGGTATCAGCCTGTTTCCTGGTAACAATAACCTTATTTAATAAGGACTCACTCTTTAAGTCCCAGTGTCGTCCTTTGATATCAGTCGCACAATTCAAGTCATATACCCCGTGGCAACAAGGAGGAGAGTTCTTGGGATTCCCCTCGCCTTGGGAGTTTACATGATTAGTGTGTGACGGTCTACTCACCCAATGTAGCCATCTCCCAAAGAACAACACCAAAAGACCAACTATAGAGAAAAGCACAGAGGTCGTGAATATCCCCACTGCATTAACATTACTTTTCTTCTCTTCTCTTTACTTGATGAACTTAAGGCAAAAGGGCGTATCTCCACCTTTCCATGCCTTCGCTCTTGACTTAACCCTATGACACCAGGCCTCAGCTGCTCAAAGCCCTTAGCCAATGGCCTAGCAAGGTTAACAGAGTAGGGATCGGAAAAGAATACCAATTTAGGTGACGGGTCTGCCGCATAATCGTAACTAAATGATCTTTACGTACACTCCGAATTAAGAATTCAGCAGACGCCGCTCTCGCTCAGGACTTATATGCAAACTATGTAGTCCCGAGTCGAAATTATATTGACAAGTACGAAATCAGCCACTATAACCACTGAAATTCTAGATCGGTTTGAAATAAACTCGCTGATCACGACTTTTAGGGAAGCTGGCTGAGGTTTTCTGAGCAGTAATTTATCGAAATGAGTTTAAAAGAGTGGGATTTTTTTATACTCACACATCACTTTTGGTGGTGTAAAGGCCTTGATAAAGTGCTTCGGGGGCCATCCATTTTACAGGAAGTTTTTTGGACTTCGCTGAGCTGCTCACATCTTCATAGATTTGTCTCATCAACCCAAAGTCTGACACTTTGATTTGGTTGTCATGGCCAACAAGAACATTACGGGCAGCAAGGTCTCTGTGAACAAGATTGTTTTCGGCGAGATGATTCTAATTTTAAGAAGGAAAGAGAAAAATGAAAATAAGTACCATAAAATTTCATTTACGGGGCTACTATTGCCTAAAAAGGCACGGGTGAAGGCGTGAAAATTATAGGAGCCAATAATCAAAAGTAAAATATCACAACTGAACTGATCTAAACGGCTGATTCAAGTTCAGACAAAACATGCCGAATTTGGTTCGATCGACTATGACAATTTCTCCGCTAAGAACCATTAATCATCTAGAAAATTAACTTATTTTAATTTCCTTTATTTCTTGCTTGTGGAATAGTCTTTGACAACGATCTTTGAAGGATGAAAACAAAACCTGAATGGAAGCAACGTTTCTCAGAAATAATAATATAGTAATTACCATTCCTTTAGCAATTTGCCAAGCAAATAAAAAGAGTTGTTTGGTTCGAAAGTTCTCCTCCTCGTCTTCTTCATCACTGCTGAGATCCTCGTTTATGCTTTCGATTACAGGTGGCATGGCGGGTGAAGGCTTTGCTTGACTTTTTCCTGTTACCTGTTGGCTGCGTAGTAGTTCTTTGTCCTTTTCTTTCCACTCCCCATCCTTACGAAAATTAAAAAACAAAATCATTAATGGTCTAGCTTAAACAACTCGAAGAAACCATATAGATCGACTCAATCGCTAAGACGCAGCTAACGCGCCACTAGAACTCGGCCAACAGCGAGGTCTGATGGCAACCATGCAGCCCCTTGTGGACGGCCATTCTCCAGGCGTTGCAGTCTGTGGCGAAGGTTTCATATCTTAGAGTGGGATTCGATTCAGTTTTTTGTTTCTGGCTGTCTTTCAACCTCTTTAGTGGGTGTCCAATGCTACGTGCGCCGCTGGTGACCTAAGGGAAGAGGACCATTTTCGGGAAGTGCGTGTCTTCCATTCAAACCACACGTCCAACCCACCAAAAGACGGTATCAAAGGCCTTGGTCAGGTGAACAAAGAGGATGTACAGGCTCTGATTCTGCTCGCGGCACTTTTCCTTGATCTTTCCTACGAGGAATATTATGTCGATTGTCCCTCTGTTTCTCCTGAAGGCACACTGACTCTCGCAGACGAAAATCATCCAGGAGGTGGTGTGTGATACAGCTTAGTATGATGCGTGCCATGATCTTTCCTTGAATACTCAACAGCGAGATACCTTTGTACTGTGGTTGTCACAGGATGCTCTGTCATCTTTGTTTTTGTACAGGTGGATGGCGTTGGCGTCCTTGAAGTCCCTAGGCACTGAGCCCTTGACCCAAAACTGCTGCATCAACTCAGTGAGCTTGACGGTGATGACCTCTCCTCCCTCCTTAAAGATTTTTGGAGGTTTCTCATCAACAACAGGTGCTTTCCCAGCCTGGAGCTGCTTATTTTTTTATGGGTTTCCTTCAGTGTTGGGGGATCGTCAAGAGAGCTTAGAACCGGGCGCTGAAGCATATCTTGCATGGCTCACTGGTCGATCTGTTGAGAAGTTAGCTAAAGATTTTACACCAACTTTGAACGATATCAGACTTCCCTGTAAGCATGGTTCCATCAGAAGATGGGGCACGAGCCATGGCATTGAAAAGGTACCATATACAGTCTTCAAGCCCTCGAAGAACCTCTTAAAGTTGTGCACGTCTGAATATTGCTCCAGCTCTGCAGCCTTGTGTTGCCACCACTTATCCTTCATCTGTCTCAACTCAGTTTGACTTTTTTTCTAAGGTGCTTGAGGCGATCGGGCCTGGCAGTTGAGGTCTTTTCTTAAAGCCATTTGGTAAATGCTTCCTGCTTTTGCTTCAGAAGGCAGGCGTTTTCTGCGTTGTTGGTTTCAAACAAGTCCTGATGTTTTCGCTCTTTCTGTTCAAGTGTTAATTTGTAAAATCGAATGCTGCATCTCTAAAATTACCCTAGGCTTTCATTGCATTATTTTCAGTCGGTAGGCTGTCGATCTTGTCCTCAGGTTTGTTGCGAGGGTTGCTTTGATGTCAGGGTCGGCACAATATGACAATTAATCACTCTCAAAGAAAAAACACTGACAAAATGTTTGAGCTAAATGTGAGTACAAGAACAGGTGTTTAACCAAGTAGACGTAATTGACAATCATGAAGTTTCTCTGTGTTTAGCTTAAAAGTGGCAGGTTTACAGCTATCAAACACGTATCCTCCCTTTAGCAGTCTGTTGTCAAAATGTCTGGGATGAACTAAACCACGACAGTTAAAGAAGGTCCTGGTGGCTTCACCGTGCGAAGTTTACCCAGGAAGCCACGGCCAGTGTCGAGTCTACAACTAAAATAGCATTGAAGCGACAGGTTGTGACGTAATTCAAGAAGGCGCATGCGCAGAAGTAGTACACCAACGATGAAAATATCATGACCGCTATAGTGACAGAGGACCTACAGCGACTATTATGTTGCGTTCTTCTTTAGTCGAAACTAAAAATTAAAAGAGTTGTCTACTTATTTCGAGCTCTCGCCCCCCGCCCCCCTTATCTAAGGATCTGGATGGCCGCTCCCCCCTTATCTCAAGGTCTGGATCAGGCACTACACTAAACTGTGCAGTCGACGTATCTGGAGACTTGCTGAAATTGGAGGCAGATCCCAGTAGAGCTTCTCGTTTGATATATGATCTCTCCAGCTTATGTTTAGAGCAGCATGTAGCAGCCTTGTGTAGCAGCCATCAATTTGTTCTTCCACTGTAGTAGTCAATGTCAAACTCTCTGACCCGTACAACAGAACAGATTCAACTAAAACTCTAAAGAAACGTGTCTTTAGATCTCTGTTGAGGTTGATTTCCACACCGCTGTTAGTTTGTTGCTAGCGGCACAAGCTTTTCCTTTACGGATCTCGAAGTCTTTCTTCGTTTGATCTATGCAAGAGTCTAAGTACTTGAAATCGTCCACTTGTCTTAGCTTTGAATTGTCTAGGGTAGTAAGGTCGCCCTGTGTCGGAGGTTACAGGCCATGTGTTCGGTCTTGCCGGTGTTAATGTGCAGAGCAACTTCTTTGGCAGCAGTTTCAACTCCCTCTAGCAGTGATTGGGCTTTATCCAAGTTATCTGAAATCAATGTGATATCGTTAGCAAGGTCTCTGTCAGTTATCATAACTGCGGGAAAGCGATGACTTCTTCTCCCAGTCAGTGTAAATCCCAGGTCTTCTTAGCCTTCAATTGCGGTTCTCATTGCATAGTCTAATGCTATGATGAACACGAACGGAGCTAACGTGTCACCCTGCAGTACTCCAGCATGGAAAGCAAAGAAATCTGTTTCTCCACCAGGTGAGCAAACAATGGCTTCAGTGTTATAATACATCGACGCCCTAGCCAAGACTATTTGATTTAGGATGCCGTAAGCCTTCAGAATTTCAAACATTTTGTCTCTGTTCACCGTGTCAAACGCCTTTTTGAAGTCCACAACAGTAAGAACTGCTGTTATAGATTCTTGGCCTATATGCCTTCTACCAATGTTCGAAGAGTAAATATCTGAGCAACTGTTGATCTTCCTGGTCTGAACCAGTTTTTATTTGTGCGCAGAAGGGGTCTAAGTAGGGGCGGATCCTGTTACGAAGCACTCTATTATAGATCTTAGCTGCTGTTTGAATTAAAGCAATACCACGTTTGTTATGAGGTTCACTAGGATCGCCCTTTTTTGGGTACAGGGTTTATAATGCTCTTGGACCATAGCTCAGATTTTCCGCTACCTTCAAGCATCGTATTACACATGTCTAGCAACTGGTCATTGAGTAAGCCACTTTTCTATACTTCAGCTGGGATTTCATCTATGTCAGGTGCCTTCTTGTTGGCAACGTTTCCAGCCTCACTTCAGCAGTTTTGCCTTTAAGACGACCTGTAGCTGACGAAGTCCTTCCCGTTATCTCATTAGTAGTATCCCATACTCTTTTTACCTGATGCTGCACTGCAGCGTCCTCAATCTCAGCGCACTTCTGGGCCAGATATTCCACTTGTTCGCTGTCATATGCAGCTTGAAGTTCCTCTTTCGTTTGTTTTAGGTAGTTCGCATTGTCAGAGTTGGGGAGACATTTTTCAAATAGGCTTTCTTCAACTCGTTCCTTTTCTCCTTGACAAGTTCTTTCTCCCACGGCACTCTTTTTTTCACTGGTTTCTTCTTAGGAATACACTTCTTTAAGCTGCATCCATTTGGGCCTTGATCATTGTAGTATACAGATCGTTCACAGTGTGTTTTTCCTTTATCTCGTACAGGGCCTCAAAGCGATTCTTAACTTCCACAGTATAAGCCTCTCTTACCGAATGGCTACGTTTGTCAGTTGTTTTCCCATTGGCTAGCAAACTGAGGCGTAGTTTAGTTACGACAATCTTATGGTCTGAATATACTGTACTGAATTAAAGAGTCATATGCCTGACAGTCTTTGACACTGTTCCACTATTTCCTGTTTACCAGTATATAATCGAGTTTGGCTTTGCAACCATTTGGCCATATCCAACATAAACGTCTTTTTCCCAAAGCTGAGCCCATTACAGTCTAAGGGACTGATTTGTGCATTCAAATATAACCACATATGATCTTAAGGTTATGTCCAGGTAGCTTCTTTATTACTTCAGAGAGTGTGTTGTAGAAGTCTAGAGCATCGCTGTCACCCGAGCAGTTCGTTGGGCTGTAGCAGCATATAATGGTAGTAGCAGGGTTGCCACTAAAGTTTGCCACAATGGTCCGGTTATTCACTACCACAATATTGCCCTCTAGGGAGTTGTGAGCAGAGAGGCTTAGTAGCATACCCACTCCTCCCACGCAACTGTTCATGAACTTCTTCCAGCACGAGAAATTGGCCAAGATCCAGCCTTTGCAGACATCAGTACAGTGCACGTGCGCACTATCGTGAAATTTTCGATGTTCCTGCAGACAAACAACAGATATTCCTTTCTCCTCTGCCAGCACGGTAAGCTCTCCAATCTTCTCAATGGAGTTGAGTGAACGGATGTTAAAAGTTGACACCACAGTGTTTATCTTGCATATTAAGAGACTTCCAGTAGCTGACTTATCAACTCCTACATGGTTGATCACTGGGGGACGCGGCCCTTGTTTATCCGGGCGAGGACCGAGCAAGTATGTAGGGAAGTTTGCAGTGTTTATCAAATCAATGTTTTGCTAGGCTCACTGAGACAAATCCAAGCAAGGGATGCTGGAGGAGCGCCAGACCTTCCAGCGGTGGGCTCGTTTTCTGTAGGGGTGGCTCCCTTAGCCTATGGCAAAAACAAAAACCTGACTGCCAGGTAACAGTGTCGTGACCCTGACATGGCTAACGGGTGCTACACCTTTCCCAAGGGCTACCCGGAACTGTGCATTGCAGGGTAGGGACGTTTATGACACTGAGGTACCAAATGCACGAAGTATACCATGTACCCACATACCGATACCTGCATTACTTGTAGTTGTAAATAATTATAAAACTTCTTACTTGATTTTTAGCGGAAGTTGAGGGAATCACTTCAACAACGGCATGTTTGTCGCTTTGCTGTGCAATGTTCACTTGCTCCTTGTGTGCAGAATGCTCATCGTCCATAGCCTCATTATTAAAGGCGAACCTATGCTAAATGATTTTTAAAAAAGGAGTTTAATTTATATGTAGGGAAATTGGAACATTACATTGTTAGAAGCTACTGTCTGTAACTAAAAATTAAAGTATCACACAAGTTTAGGCAGACTACTGCCTTTTTCCTCTTACTATTTTATTTTCTTAAGATCCAATTTAAATCATGATATAAAATCTTATGCACTAATAGTTATCTTCTATGAGTTTCGGGATACCTGTGCTAAAACTATGTAATTCGACTGACAAAAGAACAGAGAGGAGTTGAATTTGTTCATTTAAAGTTCCACTGAAATAAGATGGAAGTTTTATTTATCATTCTTCAAAACCCACGATATTTAATTCAATAACAGTAGTCTTTCGTTACGTGATATCTCTTCAGTCACCGAAACGTCACCTTTCGCTTCGCCCTATGCTCTTAGGAATGAAATATATCATGTTACACCCTTCGTATCGCGAGACAAGGCATCTTCCGAGAGCAAGAGGCAGTCGGTCGGGTCGGGAGAAAAGGCGCGGCAAAAATAGTTTTCAAGAAAGGGCGGAAGAGCCCTTGGGTGCCGACCCTTACTAAACTATTTCCAAACGGTCAAGCTGATTGTGTGCAAAGAATGCTTTGTATTATTGTGCCCAATCGATAAACAGCATCTCGCGAGTTCTTTTCGTGTGTTCGTACACGATAGCTATTGTCTCGCCATTATGATAGTTCTTTGGCTCTTGCACTAAAGAAATACACGCCGTCAGGAAAGTTTCAGTTCGATATAAAACCCGTCCATGAATTAAAAAAAACTGTAACTGTCTACCCGAAAACTAAATTTGGAAACGTATGTAAGGGTATTTAAAAGATGCTTATCCAAAAACATAAACTTGAGCTTACAACACGTATTCAAGCTTGCATCGATCCTTATCGATCACGCCATCGTAAATATCATTTACGATACCTTGTGACAGAATGGTCTAGGAGCAAATTGGAACGGTCCTGCTGATAGCATCTGAAACGTCTTCCGAATTCATCAGTTTTTCCTCCGTTTCTTGTAGGGGCAAAGTAGGAAAAGCCAAGATTCCCCTTGCACATCAAACCTTGGTGAAAGAACCGGACAAGTATGGCGAGATAATAGCCGTCGTGTACGAACACACAAAAAGAAAATAGGAGCCCATGTTCGCCCATTGGGCAAAATAATACAAAGCATTTTTTTGTGTGCCCAATCAGGAGTCAGTACTCGCTGGATTGTTTGAGAATGGTCTGGTGAGAGTCCGTAAACAGGGGCTCAAACGTTTTCTCCCGAACCACCTGACTGCCGCTAGGCCTCCAAGGATGGAGAAAAGGCCGCTTGTGGCTTGAGTGTGTTTATTAAAATTCTTACATCAGGGAGACTGTCAGTGGCAGACGCCATGTCCTTTGGGTCGCCACTCTGGCGCAATGAGATCATTTCCATGGTGACCTGAGCCTGCTCTTCCTTTGCCGTTTTCTTCAAAAGTATGCCTGCTTGTTTTTGCTGCGAAGAAGGAAAGACCGTTCAATCCACCCTATAAGAGTGTTCCACCCTCCCTCTTATACCACCCCACAAAAAAGACATCAAACAAATTTTATCAGAGGGCATTAAACATAAAAACTTTTTGGTGATTTTTACAAGCATGGAAACAATTTCAGTGTCTTAATTTAATCTTAGGACGCTTTCCATTTGTCAGAACTGACCAGCCAGACCATTCCAGTCATAATGAGAATTTCACTTTTAATCAGAACTATCAGTCAGATCCCAAATAGCAGGCACAAAGGAAATGGTGTTTTAACAAAAGCTCTTGGAAAAAAGCATGTTTCATTGTCAAAGTGACTGGTGCCTGCTATGGTCTGGCCGGCCAGTTCTGACTTTTGGAAAGCTCCCTTAATTAAGTCTTTGATTACGTACAATGAGCCGTCAATCAGACACAGGGAACAAACAACAAACGGTTTGGGGACTTTGAAGAAAAGAAAAAATATCAGGGTCAAACAAGAATAGATAAAATATTGAATCAGCACATTTTGTTAACAAGCCTACCTTTTCTCTGCTCTCTTCCTGATCTTTCAGAACCTCTTTGTCAGCATATGATCTCTCGGAGGCTTTAAGTTCGTTGATCTAGACTTCCAGCAAGCAACGTTATCAGTTTCGTAACAAATAAAGACCAATACATGTGTGACTTGGCCTGAAGGTGCCCGCAAAGTTTTCGCTTGAACACGGGCATCAAGCCAGGGAAGCCAAAAAAATCCAGAGAGCTTAGCAGAGAGCTTTGGTCCGGACCTAGTAGAGGATGGGTGGGTGGCTTTTTGTGTCAAAAGTAGGGGGTAGGTATGGGAGATTTTGTCACTTTGATAGATTTTCAAGCCAGAATACAGTTCAGAAGTCAAGGAAGTTTCCCTGTAAGCTAGCCCAGCCAAATAAATGCTGTGACTCATAATCGTAACACTACTGGCAGAGCTTGGGGGAGTGAGTTTCATGGGTGGTGAGGATGAGGTCTTGCTCCTTGGACTTGGCTGTCCAGTAGAGTGAGTGCAGGCACCTTGTATCAAATCCAGTCAAATACATGATAATGTTGAAATATTTCCCCTTAAGCACTGAGTAATCTCGAGAGAAAGTATTTTCTCTTTGTAAGAAGTTTTTAAAAAAATCTTATGATTTCAATAACAAGGACTTTATCGGGTATGAAATTGGCATCGTCGCAGATGTAAATCTGCAATAGTCTCAATACATGATATGGCTGGTAGTTATATAGTCATACAAAATGGTGGTCTACCCTTTCAGAACACGAGAACACGCTGCAATGATTTTCTTACCTTTTTTCTTCTGCGGCGTAGCCACGTCAAGAGGTCACCACACGGTACGTATTCTATGACCAGGAACATTTTCTCTTCAAGCGTGCAGCATCCAACCATGGATACAACGTTCTTATGTGAGCCTAACAGTTTCATTTGTTCAATCTCAAACATGAACTCTTCTATCTGTGCGTCAGATGGATCATCTAAAGACAATTTGATAAAATGATTATGTCTTCTTCATTCTTCCTGTGCCAGCATGTTATTTCAGTGCTAGACTTTTTATTTGCATGACAGATATTCATCCCTTTTTATCGCACGCATCCTCCTATGCACAAAAGGACAGGGAGATTATTCCTTCTAAGTGCATTTCAGTTTAATAGTCACTTTACCACCCCATCTTCTTAGATAGCAGCCTTGGAGGAGATGCGCTATCTGGAACAGTCAGGCATGCTACCTTGAGCTCCTACCCTATTTATCATCAGGCCTTAGCCGTTGTTTTCGAAGAAGAACAGTGGTGAAAAGAATAATCGACAACAACAACAATACTAACAAGAACCAAAGCAAACGAAATAAAAAAAATTTGATTTTTTCGACTGATTTTCTATTGGGGTCTCAGAAAGGTCCAAACAAGAAATAAAAAAGAATTCGTTTCTTTTGCATATAAACAACTGAAAATAAGTTACAAATTCAATTAGCGCTTACGGCTTTCTCTCTTGTTTTGTATATTAAAATATTTCTTACCATGTAAAACTTTGACAGCCACCACCTGTGGTGCCTTCGGCTTCGTGGATGATGAAGGCCATTTGGAAGTCTCAGTGACCAACGCCTCCATCTCATCCATCTTTCTAACGGTTGCTTTGTAAACAACACCAAACTCTCCTCTCCCTAGCTCTCCCTCGAATTCTATTCGCTCAGGCACCATTTCCCACTTATCAGAGGGTTGTGAATCAGGTGATCTGGAGAAAAAGGACATAATAAAAGCTGAATTAAGGTTGTTATTAATTAAAAAACGCTCGTGGGTAATCCTAATGATAGCGGTGGCTGTTATCAGTTTAAGCACCATATTTTCAATCTGAAAAACATACCAGCGCTAAGACGTTTGGCTTGTACACGACTATTTGTGCAGACGTGGACGTATAGAGAAACCAATGGACAACGCATTGAACAGGAGCATCGGACTTGCCTTTCCGTATGCGTTTCTGCCAATTTATGACAAGAAATTAACAGACAAATTTTCAGGCAAACGAAGTTGTAGGGTTGTCGGAAATAATTACCAATCTCCTTTGCAAACATGTTGATTTTAGTGGCGTGATTTAAAGGAGGTCTTAAGTGATAGATTACACGTGAGAACCTGATAGCCCTGAACTCTGGAATTGAAAGCTAAGCTGAAAGCCTCGTGATTGACAATAAAATGTAGAACAACAGGGAGTAGTGAAAGAGAATCATTTTGTGATAAGGGTGTGCTGTACTGTGAGGAAAGGAATAAACACCTCCTGTGAGTGTGTTGGATAACAACTATTTGGAGGCAATTTCCAACTCAAGTGCGGGCACCTCCGACGGGACACACAGGGATTTGCCTCGAACAAGAGCAAGGCATTTACGGAAATTCAAGTACACAGCGGATGCGATCAGGGAATTTTCTAGCCTCCCATACAGGCGTTTTTAGGGGAGCACGTTTTTCATCCCTCGCCTAAAAACGCCTGCGTGGGAGGCTAGGAATTTTAATACTGAGTATATTTACCAGGCGACAAAAACGACGCCAAAACTACACGGGCTAACGCGATGGAGGAACTAATGAAAGAATTTAACCGGAAGATTGAGTCTATCAAGTTTTCGCTAGACAAAAATGATGGAGTGATAGTTTCTCAAAACACAGAAGCGATATCAAGCGATATCAAGACACAAAGCGCTATTGACGTCAAAATTGCAGGCCGCTCATACAGTGAAAGAATCCATTATGGAGCTGAAATTTGCAAATGGAGAATCACATGAGCAGGTCACCACTTTGGCGAAAGAGCACGAGACATTTCTAAAGGAAGCGGACGAAAGGGATTTAGCAATAAGGCAACAAGTGGCAATCAAAGGGTGCCTAATTAACCCACTGGGCGAGAGTCGAATCTCGGACCTCCGACCTGGAGGGTCAACGCGTTATCTATTGAAGTCGCTTGATAAATTAATCATCTTTAACACTTTCGCCCGAGAACTTCTGCCGGTCGACGCTGTTTGAAGCCCGTCGAGCTTTATTTATGAAGAATTGACAGATATATTCGAGGAAAGCAAGCATGGTTTTGATAGTAAAAGCCGTACTTTAACTCATTTCGTCGCATTTGAAGAACATATGGTCGACAAGTGTCTCGCAAAACCGTCGCGAAGTCTAGTCTTGCAGCTTGCGATTCTCGGCGTTTGCATGAGGAGAAGCAATTACGATTCAGCAACAGTAAACAATTCCGTTTTTATTGAATAAAGAAACATTTCATTTCAGAATGATATCTCACTAAAAAAAACCCATGAGATTGGGAGTCTTGTCGTGAGAAACGTTAAAACATCGTGAGACTCACAGCAGAATCGTGAGCTTGGACCAGCCTGGGAGTCGAAGAGCAATTGCTGATCTTTTTGTCATGTTTATCGCCTGGACGAGCCAAAAAGCTTCAAAAGTTCATAAATTCTGTCTCAAAGTTGGCCATAGTGCTAATTTGAAACGGTCAAAAAGTCCACATGAAGACAATCGTCCTGTGACTCCTGTGAAATGTGCAAAGTCAGCACATCGTGGAACGGGAACGATCTACGACAGAAAGAGGGAGCCATAAGAATCTTCGAAGATGCTAAGTTCAAGCTGCACTAGTGGCACTCGAATGTTGCCGAGTTAGAAGAGAGTGAAAGAGGGGTGGAAAACGAGGGCACTTTGCCAAACAGCAGCTCGGCAAAACAAAAGCAAAGACCGGCAGTTTTCTTGGACTCGCGTGGCACAAACAAGGAGATCAGATAGGTGCTACTATGCCTCAATATGACACGTAATATGGCAAGAATTTACGATCCCCTCGGTCTCGTGGCGCCGGTAACTATCAAGGGAAAGTTCATCTACAGAGATGTTTGCAACGTGAAGGTGGCCTGAGATGCACCGCTACCCCCACCACTAGCAAGCCAATGGACACGATGGAAGAAAGAGTTACCAGCCGAGGTCATGGTAACAAGGGCTCTGACATGTGCCCAAGAGCAGATTGAAAGAATTGAGCTCTATGTATTCGGAGATGCGAGTAAGAACGGAGTGTGTGCAACAGTCCATGCAGTTGCGAGACAGCCATCAGGGGTGAGCCAGGGTTTGGTTACTGCAAAGGCTCGACTAGCAAAGCAGATGCTGACCATTCCGCGATTAGAGCTGGTGTCGGCACATATGGCAACGAACCTTATCATAAACGTAGAGAAGGCGCTTGAAGGGTTTCCTGTTAACGGCGCTATGGATGGCTGGATAGCTCAGTGGCTCTCCATTGGATAAACGGTGGCCGCGAGTACAAAGAGCTCATAGCAGAGCGATGAAAACACAAGAGCATTCAGGGATTACTTGGCGCCACGTACCCACTAACGAAATTCCGGCAGACCTGGGAAGTCGAGGAGGGCAAGTAGATGACAGCAAGCTGTGGTGGCAAGGAATGCAATGGCTTTCAGACAGAGAAAAGTGGCCTACAGACATCGTGACAAGTCGCACTCCTGAGAGCCAAGCATAGGCTAAAATTACCAAAGAACTTTTTAATGGCGCCACTGCGTCAACTGGGTGGCTCAATGTTGAGGATTGTCGCCTGGACCGCCAGATTCATACGGAATTCACGCCTGAAGAAACAAGAAAGAATGATGGGTCCATTGACGACCGACGAGATTAAAAACCAGCACCTGTTTTGGACCAAGCGCCCTCAAGGGATTCAAAGCGATGATGTGACAGACGATCGACAAAGACTGGGTTTAGAAGAAAACGACCAGGGGATACTCATATGTCGAGGTCGTGTACAGGTACATTACCCGGTATACCTGCCTGACAAGCACCCCTACACAGTGAAACTCTTTGAAGCCGTACATAGCATGGGGGAGTAAGTTTAACAGTGGCGCGGATCGGAGAGCGTCATTGGGTGCCGGGGCTCAGACGTCTGACCAAGAGAGTAATAAAACACTGTTATGGTTGTCACCGTTTCCAAGTCAGAGCCGCTGCTAAACCACCTCTAGCCCTTAGAACTGTCGTGCGAGCGGGCGCCTTTGACAAATTAACTCAGGAACAGCTAAACCCGTAGGTTCGAGAGTTCAGACCTACCCGTGACGCTGCAATTGCAGCGAGAGTACAAATGCAAGATATTGCTGACAAAGAGCAAGCCAACTGAAATGATTGAACACCGACTCTGTAGCGAGTTTGAGAATCATTTCGTTTTCTGTTATCGTTTTGACTCAGAAGAACGTTTAGTATGATATGGTTTCTAGAGATAAATGCAACATATGTCACCTAAAGGTAGACATATGGGGGGAGAGTGTCGGAAATAATAACCAATCTCCTTTGTAAACATGATTTGAGTTCTGTTTGATTTTAGTCAGTTGATTTAAAAGAGGTGTTAAGTGATAGATTACACGTGAGAATCTGATAGCACTGAACTTGGAATTGAAAGCGAAGCTGAAAACCTCATGATTCATAGTAAAATAGTAGAACAATAGGAGATAGTAAAAGAGAATTATTTTGTTATGAGAGTGTGCTGTACTGTGAGGAAAGGAATAAACACCTTCTGTGAGTGTGTTGGATAGCAACTATTTTGGACACAATTCCCAACAGGGTTGGTGACAGTTTAAAGAAACTTAAGACCACGTTTAAATTAAACACATCAGGACATATGAACGGACAAAAACTTGCACAAAGCCGCATTTCGTTTACACGGAACTTGCGAACAGTGCAAGTTTTTGAACGGCAAATCATACTGAAATTTGATACAGAATTTGCACGGTTCCACAGTGTAAAAGGGTTGCACGGGAAAAGCCTTAATCATTCGTTGAAATATTTGTCCGGTCCCGTGTAAACGGCATCTAACATAAATTTTTCATTTTAATGCAAGGGTAATTTCATTGATGAATGAAGCTTCATCCGACTCAACCAGCCCTTGCCCTTTTGTGTACTGCTGAACACGTTTTCTCTACAAGCCCATTTTTGAGTGAGAAAACGTCACAACGAAATTTGCCATACCCGATTAGAAGTGAAACGCCGCTTCTCGAAACCGGCCTTTGCCTTCCAAAAATGCAACCTCACCGACTGGGCATAGTTTGATATCGTGTTGATATGAGAGATAACTTTTGGTCCCAGATAGGCTCAACAGCGCTTGTCTGTCAAAATAAACAGCTGGAAGAAAGAGGCATCTCAGAAGAAAGTTGTCAACCAAGGACTTTAGCCATTAGCCTTCAACCTATCGTTTTCGGCAATTCACCCAGACTACCAAAAATTGAGTTTGTTTGCGCTGAATGTTTGTGCTCAAGCTCTTGGGCGTTGAGTCTAGGTTGCGTTCTCTCGACGTCGAACGCAATAACATTTTTTTATCAGTCAAGTCAATTTTCAATTTATTTTTCAAGATATTCTTCTCCAGGTTCTCTTCTTTCTGTCTTTTTTAGGTTTTCAGCCCCTTGGCTAAAACAAAATGCTTGATTGTTCTCGTTGCAACTGTCAATGGCGGGTGCACGACGCTCTAAGTGGCCACGTGACGTAATCTAACCAATAACATCGCGCTAAAATTAAATACTAGGAAAGTAAAATTTTGTTTATATAAGTGTTTTTGATACACCTTCAACTAGAGAAAAAATTACGCCGAACAACGTCGTTAGCAAATTAAAAGATGCACAAACCTTTCAATAGTCTTTAGCTTCTTTTTTCTGTAGCACCAGACAACAATAGCCACGGACAGTAGCAAAAAAGCGGAGGTGATACCAAGTGAGATGTAAATGACTTTAGAAATGGCGCGGGTCGGATTTTCGGGTTCAGGTATCGTGGTGTTCTTAACTGCAAGGAAAGGTATTGCATTATAAATGGCATAGGAAACGTGCGAGTATGCACTGATTAAAACAGGTGCATTATCTTGTGAAAACTTACAAAAAGGTTCTTAAAATCATGGCTATTCCTCCTCCATGGATCCTCGTTAAAATAAACTAAGTTTTCCCTGTTTCTGGGGAACATGGCACGGCGGACCTAAAGTAACAATTTTTAGTTATTTTGTGTCCATTATACTTGAGCTTACTTACCACTATTACACATATCTCCTTCACAACAGTGCAAATGATGACCATCAAATTGTCTGCATTGATCAGCGGATATACAGCCTTGAATGGTGACTTTTTCGCCGTTTGCCGTTGTATTGTCATATTTGAAACAAAGGTTTTCTGGAAGAGTACAGCTGACTTTAATGGGAGCAGAGTAATTCCTGCTAGGGTACTCATAACAAACATTACCTGAAGATAGATGCAGAATAATACAAGCCTTTAAAACCATCGAGTATCTCTGACAAGGTCACTTACCTCAAAGTCTGGGGCAAAAGCGTGAAATTATAACTTGTAGACAAGCCTAAAAGCGGAGCTTTTACTAAACTGGAAGTCATTCACTCAAATTTGATAGACTTTAACCTGAAAATACTAAACAAAAGCTTCATAGGAAAAACATAATGCACATTTCGCCCAATTGTGGAGAAAAAGTAATAATTTTCATACAATGTCTTATGTGGTTTTGCTGTATGAATAAATAATTAGCTAAGTAAAATAAGGTTGTTCAGGGCTCTCGTATTGAGCTTGGTCTCTTGCGATAATGTGCTAGGTGTAACCTCGATGTGGATGATAGAAAACGTACTTGTTGTTGACGCTGGCATTTCACAAATGTAGTTCTTTTTGTAGTTACAGTCCTTCGCCTTTTCTATCATTCCAGTGTTTGTCTCCAGTTGCAAACAATTCGAATCACCTTTTCGGCCAATCCATACGTGCTGTATAAAGGAATTACAAGGGATACAGAAAAAATATTAAATGGAACAATTTACTACAAAAACCACAATTAATTAAGGTGGTTGTAAACAGTTTGATAATGGGAGTGTCATTCAAGACTCGTTGAGGCTCATATTTGGTATGGACAGAATACACTTTTACTAAGGACAATAAATTTGACATTTTAGAAGTAAGATTTCGATCGTTACCATGGCGACAAGGATGTTTTGAAAAAGCTTTTTTTCAGTTTGTTAAACCTGGTTTTGACTGGCACATAAGCGTCAGCAAAAGGACATTCGCGCGCGCAGAATGGCATATTTGACTCAATTCTCGGTACCAACTCTCCTCAACCCAATGATAAACAAGATGGCGGACGAAGAGTCCGCCATATTGCTTTTGATATGTTCGCATGAGGCCTGGGGCAAAGTGGCCTACACTGGTCCACGGCCTTGTGCTTATGCATGTGCTTATGTCGACCCAGTTTTCACTTGTCAAAGCTACGACATGGGCATAAGCACAAGCACAAGAAGAACGAACTTCGTTGTCCGTTTTTCTTGTGCTTATGCTTATGCTTTATGTCGACCCAGTTTTCACTTGCTTACACATGTGCTTGTACCTATGCTTATGCTTATGCGCTAGTGAAAACCAGGCTTATCATCATGATAACTTCTCGGCCAAGAATTTTCTTAAGCCTGGTTTTCACTAGCACATAAGCATAAGCACAAGCACGGGTGTAAGCAAGTGAAAACTGGGTCGACATAAGCATAAACATAAGCACAAGAAAAACGGACAAGTTCGTTGTCCTTGTGCTTATGCTTATGTCGTAGCTTTGACTGTTTAAAACTGGGTTGACATAAGCACATGCGTAAGTACAAGGCCCTGAACCAATCAAAGGTCACTTTGACCCAGACCTCATGCAAACATATCAAAGCAATATGGCGGACAATTAATAGCCTGATCTCAGGTTATGCCAAAGTAACTGAGCATGAGAAACGTGGTCTTTTGAACATTTGCGTTTTTCAAGATACAGATATAGATGAAAATGGAATAAAAACTGTCTACGATCTACATCACTGATTCAATTGGGTCTGTGACACGAACTACACAGAAGATGCGATTTCTCCGCATTCCTCTTTGAAATCTCTTCTTATAATTAATTACCCTAGCCTTAAGCGTGCTCTATCAACTGCATAAAAAACCTAACATCTCAAGTTAAATGCCCATTTCCTGTCCTTACACGTTTCCTACAGATGTGGTAGGAAGAGTAATTGTAGTAAGAATCAGTTACATTTACCTCGGGTGATCATGTTCTTATACAATTAATTCTTGTGACTAATATGTTTTATAATGAATTAATATTACATGGAGAAATTTCATGCTGATCATTCGATCATGAGGCCCGAAGAGTTAGTGACTCGATACTTACATCTAAGCTGGTTTTCTTCAGACCGGTGACTTCCATGAAGTGAATCAAAAATCGTTTTTGATTATCATCATCAACCTTCACTAAATGACCTCCGGAAACAGTACACCCTTGTCGTGCACCTTCCCAGGTACCGTTTCCATTGTCCTTGTAGCAAGATACTCCATTGAAAAACCAACCAGCAGAACAGGCCAATGGACCTCATTAGTGAAACATTTACAGAGCAAATAGTTTGAAACCAATAAGAATCATGGCACAGCTGTAAACGTTAGAGAGACTGGGACGAGAATCAGAGAACAAGGAATATAATATTCTAAAATTTCCCGGTAATCAATCAGTTGTTATATTTCATTTTTTAAAAATAGAATACAAGAAAAATTAGGATCTTTAATATGTGTTTGGGTGTGATAATTCTAACATGTAAAATTTGCATAATTATGGGCGTGGCTGGTCATCTGTCAAAAACTGCATTGTAACCACCAAAAAAGCTCCGTTAACCCAGCAAGGTTATAATTGAGGTTAAAATGACTGCGAAACAAAAGGAGAAGACAAATGGAAAAAGCCAAATATCAGGGTGGAATCTAGCCCGCCTAAAATTTAAAGGCGTAAAGGCTATCTAAAGTCCGTTTAAGAGTTTAAGCGCCTTAATGGATCAAATTTTACCTGTGTTTTGGTCGTACCTGGTACGATTAGAACTTCTCCATCATTTTCAATGTCGAGTTCCCACGCAGGAACAACTCACCTTTCGGTCTTTTGCAGAAGAGATGTTTATTTTCCTTGCAACATTCGGTGAGGTTCCAGCCATTTTTCAAGATTTCGACGCATTTATTTTCATAAACAATTCTCGACATGTTGAGCCACTGGACAGAACCAGAAATGTTAAACGATTCTCCATTGTTCCATACATATCCACCCTTTTGATGCCGATACGCCAACCCAATCCAAACAGAAGTGCGGTTTGCGTCCTTGAAAGCCGTGTCATGGACAAACTTCATTTCCTTTTCATTCGATATGCTTACCAGGTCTCCTCCAAACCCAAAACATCCGCTTACTGCTGTTGACCAAGCAAATCTCCGCCGATAACCGAGCCTATCCATAACCTTGTAGCAAAAGCCTTCAAATTCTTTCCACGTTTCTGGGCATTCCAAAGCTAAATAGGATGAAATTGGGCACTTTTGACTCTTGTGACTTAACGGTAATGAACAATGCAAGCCAATTATTGAATGAGGTCGGTCAAGGTCGTTTTAAGTGTTGTAAGCCGTGGCCGAACGCGGAGGATGATAACACGAGCTGTGCCGTAAGCAGCCGTGGGTGTCTAAATGCGCCGCCCCTACTAGAGACATTCACGGCCGCTCCTAAAAAGTTTTTGAAAAAACTAACATCGACCATAGCGCTCGAATGACCAAATAGCGCAACAAATCTCTCAGTTAATTGTCAAATTGAAATTGGAATTGTTAGAAACCAGACGGACATACTTACCAGAATAACGCCTTGTTACCGCCAAGAGGAGTGACACGAACAGTGCGAGTGTTATCATTATGGCATCAGATCTGGGAAGAAGTTAAAGTTTAGAGACCGGTCATTAGTCGACAGGGCTACTTCTGGTAGTAACCAATCAGAGCGCAGAAAAGACAATGGGGGTATTGTTTTTTGGGTCACGTGCGTCATTAGCATTGGACCCGCCATGAATTTGTTCACGTGACCCATTTCGACCAATCAGAAAGCAGCATCCCCAACTGCTCCCCAGGTCCCCGGAAGTGAAAGGAGAGCGCGACCAGAAGTCAATAAAAACACACTGTTTTTGTGTCAAAATCATATTTTTTGTTTAATGGAATGTCCAAAAGTACCTTTTTACATACTGGACATGTGTGACATCCTGGTGACGTCACGCCCTTGAATTGGTTTACAAATCTAACAAAAGGTCTATTTCATCGCCATTCCTCTCGTAGCCATAGGGATGACTCGATTTGGTCGCGACATCTACCACCGGCTGACCGGGACGCCACTTGTATACCACACTGTCGGTATCATAGTAAAGGACTTGCTTTTGGAGGGTGTCGAGAGACTCGTAGAGTTTGAGCCGAGCATGACACGTGGTGAAAGCCGCCACGAAAATATTGGTCTTGGTCCCTTTGACCACGTTCTCTTTGACACTGTTAAAGACGGCCTCCAAGATGTCGTCAGTACACAGGCGGAGAGTTCTGATATCGAGGGCCGAATCGGCGATCAGTGTGAACAAATGAGAAGGGACTTGGACGGTGACCGTGGTGGAGTTACCCAGTCTTCCCATTCCACCGTCAATGTGAAGGCCACCAATGATCATGGCCGTAATTGGTGTCAAGATCACAGCGACGGGGAAGGCGGTATCTGACACAATTCTTGTGCTCGAGTACGTGCTTGTCAAATGAGTGGCTGGTTGCATCGACATTCCAATGTGTTACCGACTCTCTCCTAAGTGAATGCCCAACGGGTGCTTTAACAAAAACGACGCGATCGTGTTTTGGACCACGGTTTATGCAACCAATGCATGGATGACAAAGACGACACTTTTGCTGAAGGCGAAGGCCTGGATTGGATCCCCGATAATTGCAGTAAATGCCGAACCGTCCAACGCATCTTTGAACAAACTGTCACCTACCGAGAATGGCAGGAACCCCTGATGTAGGCCGACGACGAACCGCACACCATGTGGGCTTGGAATCCCTTGTCCAAGAATAAACATTAATACAGCCTTTTTATTTCATAGACGATGCCGCTGACCATTTACACGGGAGGCGCCAAAGGCGTGGATACACATGTGGAACATTTATCTCACAAGTATGGTCATTCGTGTGTGGTATTCATCCCACCCTGTCACCCTCGAGCCAAGTCCCTCGCGCCCTTGACCCAGCCCTACTTGGACGCCGCCATGCCTATTGTCACTCGGAACGCATTTCATTTAGCTCGACATGTCTCCTATCCCATCACCCTCCCGTATTTACAGCGTAATTATCACGTGATGAAGCCTGCTTCCTTAGTCTTGGCTTTGCGGTAGTTTGACGAACTACGCAAGCATATCTTGGGCGGCACGGGTTGGAGTGTGGCCATGGCTCAAATCTTACTGAAACCCCTCTATGTGTTTGATTTGGATATGGAATAGTGGTATTGGTGGAATCCCACCCTGCAACAATATCAACCCCGTGAAGGCATGACCGAAGAACAGATAAGCCTTCCCACGTTACAAGACAAAACAGCCATTGTAGGCACCCGAGAAGAAGACGTGGCGGTCTATCCTACGTTGGACACTTTATTCCAACGCTCATAAACAAACCATTAGGACACTGATACACATGTAACAGGTTTAATAAAATATCAATGTACTTTCACAACAACAATGTGTCCCATAGCTTCCAGGACCTTCATGACTCTGTCTAACCGGTTCATCACTTTGTCAATAGTGTTATAGGCAGAAGGCTTCCTTCTCCCGATCATGACTGGGCGCCGTCCAAGGGGACAATTGGGTATTCCGTCTTTGAAGCGATCAATGGCGAAAGCCATCCCCTCGTTCATGAGGTTGTCTAAGTTGACGGGGCTGCCAGCCATTTCCACCATCATACCAATCTGCATAAAATATACACGATCTACGTTTGGTGTTCAGCCATGAACAAAAAAACATGTCATAACCACTCTCAATTACGGATAACTTGTGATCGAATAGTCGGTGACAGTGGTGACAGTGGGATGTTCTGGGCGTATGTAGGCAAAACACCAGTTGGTTCCACCATTGATCTTCGCCATGGTGTTGTGGGAGGCCTGTAACATCGCATTTGGGCAACCCTTTGAATTCCCGTAGCAACTTCTTTCGCTTGTCCATAGTATAAAAACACTGTACCCAGAACATGATTTTGACTTGCACTTCAAAGGGCAACACCCTGCCAAACGGCTTGTCCTTAGGGTCAGCTAGTCCTTTGTATTTCATGTTGGCAAAGCAGAGCATGAATGTGGACTCTCCGCTCTGATCCGTCTTATTAATCCAGATTCATGGACCAATTGCCTACTCGTGCCAGGACCTTTTTTCCATGGACGAAAAAAGTGTACCCATGGGGGGTACCGCCTATAGTGTCCTTTCGGCCACGTGATCCCCACGTGATTCCTCTCCACCAATCAACTCCCTGGGATGACTCTAAAACACGTCGCGCTCCTAGTCTTTCACTCATTCTGCACTGCCCAGCCAAGCTGTTCAGCCACCATGGTGCAGACGTTAGAGAAGCTTGTTTTGACAACCGTGCCTCTTGTTGTTCTTTTGGACCTGTGAAAAGCGGTCTGGCATCTCCCGTTAAAGAGGATTTGTCTAAGCACCCTGTTCAAACGCAGCTGTACCACTGAGTTGACCAACCTGTCCCGGACGCTCCCTTGAGATGACCCTGTGGCTCGCCCGTTGGATTATGAAATGCATCGCCGTGAAATGGCTGGTAAGTCGTGTCGCTTTTTTGGTTGACAGGGATGGGGTCCATTCCTTCCCTCATCCTTTTTTTTTCTTGGATTGTAGCGGTTTTCTGTCCTTGGCACACCCACCTTTGCCTTTGTCCTCGACGTTGTCGATTGAATTGGGCGGCACGTTTTTGGGTACCAATGTGTTCGTGTCGATTTTTTTTCTTAGTTTCATTAACCACCCTAGAAGACAAAGCTGTGTGCCACATTTACCAGTGGATTGCTCGCCCCACCCATGGTTCTGTGTGTAATCATTGTGAGCGCATGATGGATGGCTACACGTTGGATGATTTGATTTTTGGGAGCGGGGGATGTTCGTTAATGGAAGACGAAGTGTTGGTGTGTTTGTTCACCGAGCCGACCCGACACAGCAGGAATGGGATGATTGGCCCCCGCGCATGACTTATCGCATCAATTCATTTCTCATGGCCAATGGTTCCAATCCTGAGCCTGATCTAGCTACTTTGAATTCTCTTTAGGGACACATTTGCTGTTCCGTACCCACAGGGTTCGCGTAGATTCATAGGTTGCAATCGATCTGTCTACGATGTTATTTCTTTTAGGGTTGCTTTTTACGTTGAACCAGTATGGCGGCTGGATCAAACCCTTACAATATAGACTTCACCTTAGTACTGTTCAATGTTTGATTCGCCTTTGTAATTCTTTTCAGGGAGTCATTCGATTCTCCGTACCCACAGAGTTCATGCCTCGATTGAATGGTGTTACGGATCAGTATTGCAATGGTACCATGGTTCAGGAGTCCCCTTTCCTTCCCCGCGCCCATTGCAATTGATCCGCCAACGTTGTTATTTGTGTATTCGCCGTGTCACGCATTTAACTACTTCTTGTTACTGGTGTGACATGTTACATGATTTGGGTTATACTCGATCTTGAACATGTTTCCTTTTTTTTCAGATTGTCACTTCGTGCTACGGACAATTTACCTTCCTTCCCTTTTTCAGGCACTCACCACGTGTAAAGACACAATGTCTTTCGAGGAAGAAACTTCACAGGTCAATTGCATTTGGTGTGCAAGTTATGTTGGCTCCATGTACGACATATTTCCACAATCTGTGAATCCTGTGGGGGCTGTGAACTTTGGACAATATAGGTTTTGAGTTGGACATTTTGAAAAACCAAGAAGGGGGAGGTTGCATGGTGGCGCCACCCTTTCTTGGTACTATTTTCACACCAAAAAATATGTCTTTGTTATTCAATAGACAGTCATTGGATACTTGAACGAGTCATGATTTTTCAAGGCTGGCCCATAAAAGGAAAACTTACTATTGTCAACCACCACGGATGGACCAGCCTATTACATCTTTTAAGACCAAATTTGTTCCCTTCATAGAAACTCATTGGATATTAAAGCACCGGTTAATCAATAGAAAGTGAAGTCTATTCCTTGCATATACATAGTTTTTGCGGGCAAAAATATGGTTTATTATGTCATAATGATGAAGTTGCCTCTTCTTTGTACATTTCTCAGTTTAGGCGCGGATAATAGTCCCAAAACAACGATTTTAATGTAAAGATGGTGGCATCGCGCCAAAGAAATCATTTTGTTCCGATTTCCATCAAGCAAGAAACCGCATTATTCTGAAAGAGCATGTTTTTGTATTTCGGCTGTGAAAGCAAGTGTGCACTGTTTGAATACAGAAGTAGAAGATTAAACATCAAACTGTTCGCGGCTGTTGTTTATTTTTGCTTAGTCGACTGTTATACGTGTAAGAAGTGCAAAAATGTTAGAGACTGAAAGGATCATGGAGACAAAGGGCGCTTTCCATTTAGTCAAAATTTCCGGAATTTCCGCTTCGGCGGTAAATGGAACACGTTTCGTCGGTTAGTCCCACTGGAAAATTCCCAGAAAAAGTGGAAAATCTAAAAAGGTGGTCCCGTTTTCCCGGTTGGAATTTCCGAACGGAATGTCGTGTTCCATTGACGTTTCTTGTAGTTTGTACCAGTTCCAGGTCCACGGTCGGGCACCCGGCCACGTACCGGGGTTTACGACCAAATGGAACAACTTTTTACCAATCGGAAATTCCACTTTTGCTACCACCGAAATTT